CTTCTCCCTACTCATCACAGGCAGAAATAGTCTTCATTTGAATTATATTTGAATTTAGGATTATCTCTTTCGGATTCTTTTCCAGGGGTTGGATACCCCTACCCCTTAAAGATGCTTGTCTTCTGATCATCAGTGAATTGAGGACTAGGAGAGGCTGTATGGTGTTTAATCTAATCTTCAAATGCAAGCCTGTATGCTACATTATGTTAGGCACAGAACTTGAACCTTAAGTCCAAATACATAGTTATTTTGTACCTTGGTCCAACAGGGCTGACAGAGAGTGGTGGGAAGGGAGACAGCCTATCACAGATTTGACTTCTAGAAAAAATGTCAACCTTTCTGGGCAGCATTTTGTTGGCACCTTTCTCCCAAACTTGATGATCACTTCCTGTTCGTGGTGACAAGCCTTGCTTATTCAATCCTATAAATATAGGATCATGGTGTTAAAACCATAAACCAGTGGCCTTTTAAGAAGAAAGACTTCTTCCTCTATGAATCCTCCTAGTAGGAGCACAGGGAGCCCAAGGTAGTATCTCTCATTCCCTTGGATCCATCTGTCTCACAAACCTCACAAAATGTGTGCAAGCTTTTGCACTCCCGTGGGTCTGCTCATGTGATGCAGAGATTGTCAAAAGCAACCCTTTTGGTTCAGGAGCTTGAGAAAGTAGAAGAGCACAGAGACCCGTCTGGAGGAAACCTGGTAGATAGTGTCATCCTGGTGCAGGACAGACATCTGGTAAAGCAATGGGGGTGGGAGAGGCATATTGGGGGTTTAATTTAAAGAAAGTGAATTTCATTACCTCAAACTGCCTCCTATTCTGAGACAACTGGAGTCCAAAAGACCTTCCTGCAATATCAGAGAAGTTCCAACACAGCAGACTAAGCCGACTCCAAAGGCCGACTCTTTGTTAATTAACACAGCAATTACCTGAACAAAAGTAACGAAATTTTTAAAATTAAAAAATATACAGCCAAGGTTGGAAGAAGAAGGGAGGGCAGAAGGAAAAACAAATCAAAGAAGAAAGATGTCTTAGGTTCCAGAAGCTAAGAAGGATCCTAAAGCCAAATCATCAAACAAGAGCTGAGGCCAAAAAAAAAACAAGGAAGTCTGGATAGGAATATTGGTGTTAGAGGCTAGTATCATACAGTTTTAATATCCGTGACAAGATTTGGCATTGGGCAGGACCATAAAGCTCATTTTGAGTACCCTGCAAAAATGTTGAAAGTTGAAACTGAATATTTACTCAATTTGTGAAAATAATATAAAGAAAATTCTGCCCAACATCCCAAGAAGTTTCAAGAAAACCTTCCATCAGCTCACTAAGCTTTGTGCAAGTGTGCCATCCGAATTCATAATTACATGTAAAATAGGGGAACCTCAAATAAAGGGATTAAGTTAAAAACTGCTACAAGATATGTGAAACTTCAAAGGTTCTCGCAGAATCATATCTAAAACTACTATCTAAGGAGATGTCCATAAACGTAACTTATAAAATGCCTCCCAATCAAAGAACCCTACCACTACCACCATCTACACACTGCAGTTATCTAATAACCAAAATATTATGAGAAACATAACAACAACACGAAAAAACGAGAAGCGGCAGCAAATGGGGAAACATGAAAGTCAGAAGCTCAAGAACTGTAGATAATATAATAATTTGAAAAAGGCTATTATGAAAATACATTTTAAATTATTAAAAATGTTTAAAAAGTAATAGAAACCAGACCAGGCGCAGTCGCTCACACCTGTAATCCCAGCACATTGGGAGGCTGAGGCGGGCAGATCACCTGAGGTCAGGAGTTTGAGACCAGCCTGGCCAACATGGTGAAACCCCGTCTCTACTAAAAATACAAAAATTAGCCAGGGATGGTGGTGCAAGCCTGTAATCCCAGCTACTTGGGAGGCTGAGGCAGGGGAATCGCTTGAACTGGGGAGGCACAGGTTGCAGTGAGCCGAGATAGCACCATTGCACTCTAGACTGGGTGACAGAATGAGACCCTGTCTTAAAAAGAAAAAAAAAAAGTAATAGAAACCAAAATGGGAAAAAAAAGGACAGTAAAGGGAAAAAAAGATATGTGCATTTGAGAAAAAAATGAAATCACATAATTGGAAATGAAAATTGTCTTTGAAATTAAAAACTGAGCAGATCAGTTAAACAGCAGGTTCAATATATTCAAGGAAACAAAGGGTGAAGTGGAATTTAGATTTGATGAAATCACACAGAACACAACACGTTATGTGTGTTTGGAAAAGACGGATGAAAGCCTAAAAGGCATGTGGATGCAGGGAAGTGGAGAGGTTCAATACATACCTGATAGGAGTCCCAGTAAGAGATTATAAAAGAGAGAGCATATGCAAAAGCAAATAACTAGAAATCTTTTATAATTTAATAAAACCATGAGATTTCAGATTGAAGAAATGCACTGAGACCACTGCAGGATACACAGAATCAAATACACACCTAGAAATATCATCATGACAATAAAAAGCACCATAGTCAAAAAGAAAATAATAAAAGCAACCAGAGGTAAGTGGCAGATTACTCTCATCTGTCATTAGGTAGGATACCAAAGTTCTGAGATGATGCAGTTGCTGCTTATTTCCCTTCATCTATTCAGAAATCTGAAAGGGAAAGCAGAAAAGAGGATTAAGCAATTTTCCCTGTCCCCTTTTCTCTGCATTGCTGGAGCCTCATCGCCCCGTCTCCTCTTAGTGAGGCATAACGGCTAGCTCGTGTTGGGTACCAGCCATTCATGTCCTGATTTGCAGGGTGTCCTAGTGGTGATGCTCGTCTTCACTGTGCTGGAGCTCTTATTAGCTGCATACAGTTCTGTCTTTTGGTGGAAACAGCTGTACTCCAACAACCCTGGGGTGAGTATGCTGACATGTTGCATGATACCTGCTCTGTCCCAGGTCCAGGCTACAATAATCCAGGCTCAAAAGTGACAAACAGAAGAATCAATTATTGTTCATGAGGTGCACGTGGAAGGCCACTTTTATAATTAAAAAATGAGTTAACAGTGAAACCCAGTCTCTACTAAAAATACAAAAAATTAGCCAGACACGGTGGCACATGCCTGCAGTCCTACCTACTTGGGAGGCTGAGGCAGAAGAATTGCTTGAACCCAGGAGGTGGAGGTTGCAGTGAGCTGAGATCCCACCACTGCACTGCAGCCTGGGTGACAGAGTGAGACTCAGCCTCAAAAAAAAAAAAAAGTTTAAATAAATGGGCTCCTTCCTGAGGACACTCTAGTCATCTGGGATCAGTTGGTGTCTACTGGGAAGTAGACCAGTTAGAGAATTGCTTAATATGAGCTAATTGACTTTAGAAATCACATAGCCCAACCCCTCATGAAAGAACCAAGGCTTGGATAAAATTACATAGAAAATGAGTGATACAGACTATTGGGCTGAAAATGAGAATGCGTATCCCCTCACTTTAGTCATGAACACAGTCACCCGCCTCCCGAGAGTCTCCCTAGCCAAGTTTCCTTGTTAATGTAATGAGACTTTACTAGAACGTCTCTGTCCTGTTTATGCTTCCTTGTGCTCTTTCTTACATCCCCTTAGCTCTTGATGTTATAATTTTAAAATATTTTCATTTCCCCTAAAGGCTACAACAACAACAAAAAAGAAGTGCTTATAGAATTTGGATGAAGTATGATTTAACTATGATCCTATTTAAACATAGTAAAATAATTAGCAGACTGGAGAACGGCATTATTTTTAACTAATATTGCTGCAATTCCATATTATGGCAAAGCTGGAAGAACTAGTACTACACAAAACTTGGGGAAAATGTATTATGAGTTATTTTTTTTAGTCTCCAAAATCAAAATCAAAAGTTTAAAAATTCTAACCAATTATATGTTTTCTAGAGTTCATTTCCCTTGACCCAGTCACAAGATCATATCCAGCAGGTCAAAAAGAGTTCTTCACAGTCTTGGACATAAGCAACTCTTGGCCTCAGAGGAAGGAAAAGCAACCCAACGCTCATAGTCAAATGTGATTAGACTTTCCTGAAATCTCAGCCATTTTTAGATACCATGAAATAAACTTTAAAAAACCAACTTTTTGTTTAGTGTTTGTTTACTATGATTCGTCATTTACATGAGTCGTTTACTACAACTTATTTACTATGAGTTGTAATTTCTCTTGAAAATAATTTCCTCAAAGCCCAAGCCAGTAAAATGTTATTAGCCAGTCTTCCAAAATGGTCATCAACTTTAGAAACTGCTTTGGGTAAACTGAGCAGAAGGTGATCTAAAGAAGGGAAAATGTGCACTCATACTAGCATGAATTTGGTAAGTCGTGTGACTCTGCAGGCTGTTTCTGTATTATTTTCACACTCATATTGCTTAAATATTACATATTAGGGTATAATATAAGAACATATAAGAACACTTTAATTAAAAATGAAAGACTATATATAATTAAACTACTCTGCTCTGGCCACTCTCTGAGAAACAGATCTGCTGGGCCCTTTTTCATGAGCCATTAGGTGGAAGGCAGCAAAGAGAGTTTCTCAAGTGCTCAGGGTTACCTCTGAACACACAGCAAGCATGTCCCTGCCTCCCATGAATCGTACCATGTAAACCCAAATCTCTGCAAACCTGTGGCACCAACCAGTGGTGCTCATTTTATTGTTTTAAAACGGCCTTCTTGGCCTGGCACAGTGGCTCATGCCTGTAATCCCAGCAATTTGGGAGGCCGAGGTGGGCAGATCACCTGAGGTCAGGAGTTCGAGACCAGCCTGGTCAACAAGGTGAAACCTCATCTCTATTAAAAATACAAAAAATTAGCCGGGCACGGCAGTGCGTGCCTGTAGTTCCAGCTACCCGAGAGGCTGAGGCAGAAGAATCACTTGAACCCGGGAGGCAGAGGTTGCAGTGAGCAGAGACTGCACCATTGCACTCCAGCCTGGCCTATAAGAACAAAACTCCATCTCAAAATAAATAAATACATAAAAATAAAAATGGACTATCTATAGTCTTTGAATTCATTTATTTTAAATAAATAAATAAAATAAATATTTAGTCGGCACATAAACTATGTTCTTTTCTATTATTTCAGGGAAGGAGTCAATGAAGGCATCTTAGTGTTCTTAACAAGTTACAGATAATCTGTCTCTGAGTGGCATGTTTTCTGTTTCTAACTTGGAGCCAAATAGTGCTCACACTGAAAATAATAATGTCTGTTTGTTTGGGTATTACTTCTATTTTGATCTATAGCACAATTTTGTAATTCGGATCATCACCCCTGCACTTTGTACCACATGGGCATATTCTTTCTTCCCAGTCATTGCCGCAATTATCTTGTCTGTTCTTTGTGTAATATGTTCTATGTGGGCCGCTGCATTAAACTCAATTTCTTGGGCAATTATGGAAATTCCAGTGTGGCTGCAGTTTAACTTTGCATTCTCTATGCATATGAGGTTTCCTAAATAAACTTGAAGAGTAGCATAGTTTAAAAAATATATATCTTATAACTTTCTACAACAAAGAATTATTGAGTCCAAATGCCATCAGTGCTAATTTTGAGACACCCTGCTATCCATGGTCCCTACAAACCAGGAAATAAGTTATCATGTGTATACATTGGTTTTAGTTTTATGAAACAATTTGCCTTCATGATCTCATAGTTAAAATTGTAACAAATTTAGGAATAAAAAGGATCAATATGGGAAGCAAAATTTCTAAAGGCAGTTTCTGTTGTTTTAATTAGTATTTGTGTAGTTCAAACCAGGAAGGATTTGACTATCATTAGTCTTACTTAACTTTATGAAAGCTAAAATATTATCTATTGTAAAGGGGCAACTCCATCTGGTCCTATCACATCTTTACTACTGATTGTTTTTTAATTTGAAAATGCAAAGAATTGTTCAATGTTCTTAAATGTTCTCACTACAGAAAAAGAAAAAAGATAACTACGTGAGATGACGGATATGTTAATTAGCTGGATTGTGGTAATCATTTTGGAATGTCGATGTATATCAAAACATGTAGCACACCCTAAATATATATAATTTTTGTCAAATATACCTCAATAAAGATGGAAAAAACTTGAGATTCAAAGTTAACTACTGATTTTTATAATACAGAGGAATATGGTTACACAGTAAGTGAGAAAATTCATCAAGTAAAAGTGAGAAACTCCTTTGGAAGGAGGGCAGAAGCACAGTTGAGTTTAAAAAACATAGATTTTGGAGACAGGGCAAGTTGAGTTTACCCCTTCCCCCGTCCCGTATGCCTTTGGGTGACATAACCTTGCTGTTCCTCAGTCTCAGCATTGTAGAACTGTTAAGAGAATAAATGTTAGTGCATGTCAACACAAACAAAACACCTTCTACACAGTTCCTGGAACATAAGAAATATTCCATAAGTTTTAGTTCCTTTATAACTCATGAACATATGTGTAAGGACTTGTTTTGTATATACCATCTCTTCTGTGTTTACCATATGTTTGTAAGCAAATTGACAAGAGAGGAGATCTTCTGGATACAGTACTTTTCACCAGGAAGATGGGGGGCTGGGCATGCTCTAGAATTCTAAAACTCTGTGACTCAACTGTGATTCTGAGGTTCTACTACTGAGTAGAGTCATCACTAAGGGCTCATCTCTAAAGGCTCCATGTGACTCTGGTGGAGAGCTAGGCCATGATCTGGGCAGCAATGTTTGCTCACTCTTTCTCTCACTAGAGTTCTGCATTGAATCATGGAGTCACCATCCCAAGAAAAAAGGCCAACTCACGTCATCACTATAAAACCAAATGAAACTGTATGGACTGCATTTCCCTACAGACCTCATAGCTCTCTGCTGGATTTTCTGAAGGGAGAGCCAAGAGTCTTGGGGGTAAGTCCTCTCCAATCAACAGATCCTCCCAAAAGGGAGGAAAGAAGCTCATTTATTCATGTATGTCTGCAGAGATACCTCTGTGCTATTATTTTCAGGGAGGGAGTTAATTCTACTTTTCCCCCTTCACGTTTCATGAGAAATTAGTACTGATCTTTGAATCCCAGCAGAGGGGGAAGCAAGAAACTAGTATAACTTTTTAAAATATCTCATTGAGGAAGTGACTTCAGGGTGTGGTGGAACCTCCCTTGAAGCTAAGAAACCTTAAGTGCAGAGGTTTGACTTCCCCTTCGTGCTCTTAAAGGAACTGGGAGTGCTTCAAAATCCATATTCAAAGCTCCACAGTGAACCAAATGATAAGGCATACAAAACGTTTTTCATCACAAATGCACCCAGGGGAGAGCTGTATGCACAGCCTCCATCCTTTGTACAAACAGCAAAAATCATTACTTGGGGTGCCATAGCCCAGAGATGTGGCCTGGGGACAAAATCTAGACTGCTAGAGAAGTTGCGCCCTGAGAACCACTGCTGCTATTCTTTTCCCTGCAGACTCCTGCAAGCTGATAGGCCCACTGGGCTATTCTCCTCCCTAGTTGGGTCCTTGGATGAACGGAAGGTGAAATGCAAGCTCATCCCAGGTTCTCCACTCATCAGACTTTTAAAACTTTTAGACAACTGGGATGAGCCCCAATTCCAAAAGCCTATACTGAATGCTGGAAAATGCGGGGGTGGGGGCTGTTAGGATAATAATAGGAAACAGGTGAGACAGAAGAAAAACAAAATGTAAAGGTGAATAGTTTGTAGTCCCTGTGCTCAAGAAGCTTATAGTCTGGGGGTAGTCAGACACATACTCAAATCTGTCTGATATAAGATTAATTGGTAACCCCAGGGAGGAGAGAAAATAATAAAGAATAAAAGTGAAGGATTTGAAGTTGAAGGATCCAGGCAAGCAAAGTGAAAAGGAAACACATTGAACTGAGTCTCTTAACAATCTGAGAATGATGGACAAATGAGAGAGGAAGGCATTTGGATGGAGGGAAAAGTGTGCCATGGAGGCACACCCTGAGGGACCTGGGGTAGCCCACAGGGGCTTGGATACTTGTAACCTCATGTACCCATTTCTCTCCTCACAGGCTACCCAGATCCTGCTTGCTCTAATCATTGTGGGCCTTGGAACTATGTTTGTACTTAATTACATCCGTTTCTCCCAAAGATTTCCCCTTGTTGTCCTCACGGGATATCCATTTTGGGGAGCACTTATTGTGAGTACTTTAGAAGCTTTGGAGAAATTGCTATAAAGATAGATTTGAACTGCTTCACGTGCTAGGGTAATGAATTCCATAGATACGGCCCTCCAGGAGACCAAAAAAGGCAGTTCCCTTCATGGCAAAAGCAGCAACTCCATTTGGTCATTGCACTACCATCATCATTGTAATAACTACTTTCAGCTGCTTGAAAGTTTCCAAAGCCCTTGTGTGTATAGTAAGACATTTGCTCCTCACTACTAACCTGGGAGACTAGATGCACAAATATCCTACTTTCTCCTTTGCAAATAAGGAAACTGAGCTCAAAAGTAGAGAATAACTAAACATATCTAGCTAGCACTCATGAAATCACAGACTTTGAAAGCTTTAAAAGAATTTTAAGATTATCATCGCTCATCCTCCTTCTTAGCCCCAGAGACAATTTTATGAGTGGCACTCCTCTAGATAATCATATAGCCATAAACATTATTCTTAGTACAATGCTATTTCTATCCATTCTCCACAGCCTGGATTCCTAATTTTGTGCCATAATAGTTAAGGACAGACTCATTAGAGCTTCTCCTACTGTAACATACACTCCTGAGAAGACAGCAGTATTACCGTCTGTTTTAGTTGTTGTATTCTGAGAATCTAGAATCATGCTTGAGGCATAGTGTGCATGAACGAATAAATGAATGAATGAATCAATGAACAAATAGGTAAAATAATGAATAAATTAGGCCACTATCTCTGACTATTAAAAATCCATAGTCTCTTTTGATAAACAGAAATATTCCATGCCTTTTCTATAATGTGCATTTCAGAAACAACTAGCAGTGTTTTCATTTTCCCAATATACATAATGTAATATTCAACATGATTTTCAAACTGTACATGCCATACTGTAGAAAATCAAACAGACCAACCCCTCACTTTCTCATTTCACAACAGAATTGTCCCAGGGTGACTCTGTGTAATCTGCATGTGTGAGTTAAAATGAGGTTCTGGCCTGCTGCTTTTGAAAACTCTACTTTTCACTTAAAGGATATTTACTGAGCACATACCGTGTCTTCGATAGCATCCTAGGTGCTGAGACTGAGAATACTGGAAAACAGCTCCTCTCTGAGAGAAGTGGTGAATTGTTCTTAGATTTACACAGTTTGTCATCTAACTGGGAGACTAGACATGAAAAAGTCAAAAGTAACCCCAAATATTTGTTCCTACATTTGTGCCAAGTGTTCTAAGAGAAGAGTTCCAGGTGCCATGTGAGGGTTTAACAGAGGACTCACCTGACCACGGAGGTCAGGGAAGTGCTTTCTGCATAGCTGCTCACTAGGCGAAGTGGGAGAAAAGCATCCCTGGCAAAGATAAAGCATGAGCCAAGGGCTTGATGTGGGAAAGAGTAACCAAAAGAAGACCAACGAATCTATCGTGATGGCACAAAATGAGGCTATAAAGGTAGGGTGTAACCAGGTTGTGCCAACCCGTTAGTCATATTAAGAACATGGAACTTCAATGTGAAATCATGGGAAATCCACTGAAAATTTTTAAAGAGGATAGAGACATTTGAAGACTTGTTGAAGTATCATTGTGTTTCTCGAGTGAGAAATTAATTCAATTATAACAGTAAACTTAGGAGAATCTAATGAGAGGAAGCTGCAATCATGTGGATGAGGGATGAGGAAGGAGTTTCCCTGAACTAGTTTGGCGGCAATGGAGCTAGAGATGGAAAGCCTTGAGAGTGACTTGGAGGTAGAAATGACAGGACTTGGCAATCCAATGTGGGGAGTGAAGTGGAGGGAGGTATCAAGGGTAACTTTCTGATCTCCGCAAGTCAGCTGCAGATCCTTGGACTCTAAGACCCAGATGTCCCCAAGGTCCAAGTCAGTTCCCACAGGGAAAGTTCCCATCCTCAGAACATTAAAAAAGTAAGGGGCTCCACATGGAGTGACAGAGTTCTCATTTTCCTGAGGTGGCACTAGGCTCTACACTCATGGGAAATGAGGGACTCTGATAACTACACTAGGTATCAGTCCCCGTATCAGCCTTTAGAGGGGTCTTCCTTGAGAAAGTCTCCCTTCACCTGCTCAGAACAGGCACAGTTCCTCTTCTTCTCTTCAAGACCCAGAGCTCAGGAATCTTTTTTTGGAGCCCTAGTTGGACCAAACATCTGGGTGGTGTCCTCTGGATCTTAGAGGAGCCTGCTTGTCCCAGCTGACCCTGGCAGAGAGTGCTTGTTCAGTGCTGAGTGAATTCAGCCGAGTTTCTTCCTACCCTACCTCTGCCTACCTTCCCTACTCCCTGATGCTCAGGTGGAAAAATTGGATGGTCTTGGAGATTCACAAACAGATATTTTGTGAATCCAAGAGAAATTATATTGCAAGGTGGTCAAACACATCACCTGTTAACTTTTGTCTCTTGTCTTCTTAACAGTTTATTCTTACAGGATATTACACAGTAACCGATACGAAGTCAAAAATTCTGGTAAGTCACTTAAACTACATAAATTTTAAAATCTTCTATTGTTTTCTATCATCTTTATGTATAAAGCCTTTAGTAAAGTTAACTGTCAGGAAAATCTGTACATGTCAAAGTTGCAGTTCAGATCATCCCTATTTGCCAGTGCCACTCTTTGCCCCACAGACATTCTTACACTGGTTCCCATCTCCCTGGTCAAGTAAACTAAAAGAGTTGTTTATTGGAAACCATTCTGCACCCCTGTAATTCATTGTTTGTAATTAGGGGTAATTCCCTGCCCTGCACTCCCAGGACCCAGAAATATTGGACAACTTCTGAAGACATTTTTGGTCATTACAATTGGTGTTATTGGCAACAAGTGAGTAGAGGCCAGGGACATTTCTAAGCATCTAAAATGCACAGGGCAGCCTCCCCACAACACAAAAATTAGACAACGAAAAGTGTTTATAGTACCAAAGTTGAGAAACCTTGCTCTAACCAAACCCAATCCTAAGATCTCAGTAATTCTTCCTCCCAATCCTAGCCCTATCTCCAATACCAACCGAGGCTTTTCTTTAGAGCCTGTCCAAGGTCTGGAAAAAAGAGTTTGGGCATCGATGCTGGATTGTTCTAGGATTGAACCAAGGCTACCACTCACTTCTGTGTTAACCTGAAGGGAAAAGTACCTACTTCCAACGGTTATTTTGAGGGTTCAATGAGACATTACTTACAAAAGGCATGATGATGCTTAAATGTTCATACTCCTTTCTAACCACTCTGATCTCGTTTAAGGTCCTGGGGATGTGGGCCTCTCTGAAAGTCAGTTTAACTCTGTTCTTATGGTCCTCTGCCAATTTCCTCTAGGGATAGTTACAAGCCATAGAGACATTCTGAGGGGAGGGGGAATAAATGTTTCCACCCCAGCTTATGGAAACACATGTAGACAATGCGGATGAAGCCCCAAATGGTGTTCTCCTTGTATTGACTTCCTTCCAGAGCTGAGAAATAGACTATGGGTAAGGAAAACCTACTCCTGACTCACTGAGAGCTATGCAGATGGAGATGGGCAGGAATTATGGGGGCAGGATGCTGATCCAGGCATCAGAACACCTGACTTTTCATCATAGCCCTTTCACAAACCATGAAAGTGATTGCTCACAGTCACTTACTTCCTGAAGTCCATTTATGTATAAAATGGGGATAACAACAAGTGTCCTTCCTACATCACAAAAGTATAATGAGAATCAGAAGAGACTAGGCTGGGCATGTTCTTTGTAAAGCCCAATACACATGAGGGATTGATTATCTAGAGATCTTAGTTTGTAAAATGTCCTATGGGAGCCAAAATAGAGTCTTGAGAAAACAAGGGCACTAAAGACCAAGAGAGAGATGGCCTATCTATATGTTCCTGTGCATTTTTCTGCCAAAGTGCCTATTTGCAATTAAAAACCTGGGACTGAGGTAAATATTAAGTCACAAGTACACTTTTGAGGTTTGCCACATCAAGCCACAGACTGTTCTGGAAAGGACTGGCTGTGTAAATGCATCATTGTATTTTCCACCACAGTAGTCATAAGACAATCAATGAAGGTACAGCAAATACCTGATGAATGGAAAGGGGGAGCTTTTCTTTATTTTTCCTTTAAAAGAGTGATATCAGTCCTGGGAGTGGGTAGGAAGGAAAAAATCGGATGATCCCTTTCCTTTAAAGGAACTCAGATATACATACCCCACCCACCCACCACTCCCTCTCCCACAAAAAATAGGAATGAATAAAAGGAATTGGGTGGGGCAATGTGAAATATTCTTATTGGAACACTGAGTTCAAGAAAGAACACCTTTAAACTCCAGTCCAAATAGGTTAACATCTTTAAATGTTCATGATTCTGTTGATTATCGCTTGAATTCTCCCAGGGAATGACTGTAAACTGCGTGATTGCAGGATGTCACCTCTTTTGTTCATTTTTGTGTCTCCAGGGCCTAATGCAGTACTCACACGTATCTGGTGCACATTAAATATTTATGAAATAAATGAATAAATGGGTACTACCCTAAAAGGTGACACATTCACATTTTTAAAGGCAGAAATTGAGATTCCAAGAGATTCGGTTGCTTGCATAAGGTCCCAATGAAACTTGGACTTGAAATGAGGTTTCATTTCCAAGCAAATATATTTGCTAACACATTGCACTGCTTCCAGATTATGAAAGATGGTGGGGATAAAACGAGATAAAATGGGATGAAATGAACATTTTCTTTAGCATTAGCCATAGAGCATCCTTGGCCCATTCTAAAACTTGGTTTGTCTTCTGACTTTAATGAGTCAGAATTTAGTTTATTAAGCCTTCCAATCATACTGACCTGATGGAACAACTCTTCCCTGAGAAGTATCTGGAAAGACAAAAGCATTAAGAATTTCTTACAAGGTATTTTTGCTTTGGTTTCGATTTTGTTTATTTTATTATTTTTTAATTATCTTTCAGGGTCAAGGTGTCACAAGCATGAATGTTATCAGTTCCTTGGTTGCGATAACTGGGATTACTTTAATCATTTTCAGCTATAGACATCAAGACAAGTACTGCCAGACATCTTCTGTTGAAGAAATATGTGTTTTGGGTAGAACTCTTTTCATTGTAAGTGGTCTTATTTTGCATGATGAATCTCTAAAATCTTATGTGAACTGTGTCCGTGATGTAAAGATTCATTGATTTTTATTTTATTAACTGAAGTTGTGTGAGCATTTGAACTGATGGTTGAGAAGGGTACTGTGGGGTTATTGTTGCAATGATTAAGGAGCGATATTTTCTGGACTTGAATCCTGTTCGCATAAGTTTGTCACCTTGGCCTAATATTGTATTCCCTCTAAGACTTTGTTTTCCTCAAGTGGAAAATGAACATAATAAGAATGCTTACCTCATGGGTTGTTGTGAGGATTGCTTAAATTAAAACAGTACCTTGCACAGTTAAATAGTTAATAGGTTTAGCTAATACAATTATTATGGACACAGATTTAATTAAATATTACTGTTTCAGCATTAATGAACAAAATGATCTAAAAGTTTGCTCAATAACACTAAGATCAAAATACAGTGGGGGAAGGTATTTAGAAGTCGTTTAATAAAGTAAGGATTTTTATATGCTTAAGACACACATTATTTCACATAATTGTAGCAATTTTATTCATTAAAGCGGATGAGAGATCTTTTACCAGGAAATGTAATTGTCTGTACAATTTAAAGTATTTATCTAACAAGTAATCAATGACATTATTTTTAAGCATGTCAGTGACTCCAATAGGCCTTTCTCTCTAGTTCCCTAAGCAAGTCCTGGGGTTTTATTTTATTCCTATCAGCTATATCTTGAGGCTTGGGTTCTACAATTTGAAGACTATTTGAATCTGCTGAAGGGAAATAAAGTGGAATCACAGAAAATGGTCTTCCTCAGTAAATAAGAAATAAGAAGCTAGCTCCTGAATACAAGAGTTTATTTAATCCTCACAATCACTCAGTGAGATGGTCCTAGGGACCCTCTCATGTGTTCTGAGATAAATTCTAAAATTAGACTTCTGAGAGATTACTAAAGAAAGCCAGAAAACAACATAAGCAATAAAACCCTGTTCTAACTGGGCCAAGAACATGAAACAACATTATAATTCTTGGCCATTGCCGAATGGACAGGAGCCTACTACTGTTTGTTATGTTGGTATATACAAGGAAGAACTTGTATATACAGAAAGGGTTAAATCTCCAGATATAGGAAATTCTGCTATTTCCTACTCTCCATGGATGGATATTGCAAGATTAGTTACCTGCATACAGAACCATGAACAGTCTCTTCCTGGTTCTCACTTATATAACTTAACAATTTCTTGCTGTAACCCAAACATCATAAGCTAAAAGAGCCAAAACAGTGGGCTTTAGATGTCTCTTGGGCTGACCCCTGTCCTAAAGACCAATCTATTTTCTATACTGTGGCCAGAGTAATCATTTAAAAATATAAATCTGAGCAATTACTTAATGGCTTCCTGTAAAACGTCTGATGATTAAGGCCCATATCTTAAGGGCCTTACCAAACCCTGTAACACCTATCCTACCCACCTTTCTGACATTATTCCAGGACTTCATTCTTCTCACTCCACACTCTGGCCACTTCCTAGAATCCCTTAATGTGTCAAGTATTCATGGCCCCAAGATGACCATAGGATCAGCTTCTTCCTGCTTTGAAGGGTCACCAGGCCAGTTATACAATTAACTCATCCTCATACTTAAATCTCAACTGAAATATCACTTCTTTAAGGAAGTTCTTCCTGACCACACCTCTACGCTCATATCTGCATAGACCCCCATTATAGTAGTGCATTGCTCGCAATCCTTCTTCACAGCATTTATCACAATTTAGTTAAGTAAATAATTACCTAATTACTTCTTATTGTCTGCCTCCCTTACCATGATGTAAGTTCCACAAAATCCAACACCAGGTATATCTTGTTCAATGGAGAAAGTGGGTAAATTGCATACAATGGGGTCTTCATATATTTCAATTTTACCAACACATATTGAATATCTAAGATTTTTGGTGTACTGCAGGGAAACCAAGATTCAGAAATACACTGGGTTCAAGCAATTCTCCTGCCTCGGCCTCTCGAGTAGCTGGGATCACAGGCATGCACCACCAGGTCCAGCTACTTTTGTATTTTTAGTAGAGACGGGGTTTCTCCATGTTTGTCAGGCTGGTCACGAACTCCCAACCTCAGTTAATCTGCCTGCCTTGGCCTCCCAAAGTGCTGGGATTACAGGCATGAGCCACCGCGCCCGGCCCGACCTTGGATCCACTTTAACCCAGGTCTTTCTGTCTTCATAGTTTAAACTTTTGAGGCACCATAAGGTACCATGTTACTTCTCAATCTAAACATTACCTTAAAGCAAAATGGGCAAAATGGCAATCTGTGGGCTACATCCAGCCTGTATGTATGTTCTATCTGGCTCTTTAGGGAAAAACAAACAAAATAGGCATTATGGTATCCATGTTCCTACATGACAACAATTGGCTGGAATTGATGCCTCCTATGAATGCTATTACTCTCTACTCTCTCCTTGTTTAGTTCACAATGGTTGCCCAGCTCCCATGGACATTGGAGTTTGTTATCCCTGCCTTATCAGAAAGACGTAAGATGAAACTTGTGCAATGTCTGATGGCTACAGAACCATCCAAAATATGGTTTTCCCATACTTGGTGATACAGTGTAAGGGGTTCTCAGCTTACATATTTAAAATAACCGCTCTCATTTCAAATGCCATTTATTTCTCCTCATTATTTGCAGGGAATTTTGTCAGTCTTACTGATCATCAGCATAGCAGAGCTCAGCATCTCTGTGACTATTGCATCCTTTAGAAGCAAGTGCTGGACACAGTCAGATGAGGTATGTTCTGATGTCTCTTAATATTATTAAGAGAACAGGTTCCTGTTCCTGTTGGGATACTGCACACGATGATGTCTGGTTTATTAGCAGGAAAAGCAGCAAGCTCAGATGCTGAAGTAAAACATCTAAATTTAGGAAGGTCAGAGAGGCGCAAGCTTAAGATTGAAACTCACCCCACCCTCTGAAACAACTATGCTTTCCCTTCTTGTACTATCTGCTTTATACTCAGTCGTCTTTGTTCAGACACAGCTCTTTATGTCCCTGCCAAAAATATGTAATATCAGACTTAATGGGATCCCAAGTTACTGTGACATGGGGTGTATATTCTTGGATCATAAGATGTATGACACAGTTCCACCACCAGAAAAGAGGTAGGGAAAAAAACTATTAATACTGATACTACATAGTATTTATAATAATTGTTATAGTTTATATTTACAGAATTCTGACTACGTCAGTCACCGTTTTAATCACTGAGCACCAACTTAATCTTAACAAAACTATAACATCTTTATTTTACATATGAAGGAAGTAAGGCACAAAGAGGCTGAATAACCTCTCCAGTATCACATAACATCAGGATTCTGACCCTCATGGTGTGTCCCCAGAGCCTGCCTGCTAAGTTCCAAATAACAGTACAGGCCTTGTGATTCGTGGAGTTTTCATTTCTCTCTTTTTGTTTACATCAACTTTATAGAAGTATCATTTATAAACAACAAAATGTACCTATGTTGAGCTACCATCACAATCAAGGTATAATGCATTCCTATCATCCCAAAAGTTTCACTGAACCCCTTTGCAGTCAATGTCCTCATCACCTAGATTGGTTTTGACTTTCCAAAATTTCATACTCATGGAATCATAAGTAAGTACTCTCTGTATATGGCTTCTATGGCTTCTTCCACACAGAAATATGTTTTTGAGAGTCATCCATGGTGTTGCCTCTATCAAGAATCCATTCCCTTTATGTATGGGTACATCACAATTTGTTTATCAATTTACCTTTTTTTTTTTTTGAGTCAAGACTTCACTCTATCACCCAGGCTGGAATGCAGTGGCACTATCTCGGCTCACTGCAGCCTCAATCTCCTGGACTCAAGCAACACTTCCACCTCAGCCTCCCAAATAGCTGGGACTGCAAGCATGCACCACCACCCCCAGCTAAATTTTTTTTTGTATTTTTTTGTAGAAATAGGGTTTTGTCATGTTGCCCAGGCTGGTCTCAAACTCCTTGGCTCAAGTGATACACCCACCATGACCTTCCAAAGTTCTGGGATTACAGGTGTGTGGCACTGCTCCAGGTCCATTTACCTTTTGATGGGTATTTAGATTGTTTAAAGTTCTGAACTATTATCAATAAGTTACTGAGAATATTTGAGTTCATATGTTTATGTGGACATATTTTTGTTTCTCCTGGAGTGTTGCATCTAGGATTTGATTGTGAGATCATATGGTAACCAGATGTTTCACTTTATAAGAAAATATCAAACAGTTTGTCAAAGTGGCTATATTGCTTTCCATTCTCATCAACAATGTGTGAGAGGGACAGTTGCTCCATGTCATCATGAACACTTGAAACTGTCAGTTTTATCAATAATTTAGCTATTTTAGTGCGGATGTAGTGGCACCTCATTGTAGTTTTAATTTACATTTCCCTGATGACTAATGATGATGAGACTCTTGCTATATGTTTATTATCCATTTGTATATCCTCTTTTGAGATGTCTGTTCAAATATTTAGCTGTATTTTATTGGAATATCTTCTTATTGGCCTTATAGCAGCCTAATTAATTCTTAATACAAATCCCTTACAAATATTTGTTTCACTCTGTGATTTGCCTTTTCATTTCAATAGCTTCTTTCAAAAAACTAAATTTGATGAAGTTCCATTTATCATTTTTGCTTTTATGGTTATGGTTTTTTTGTGTGTTGTTTAACAAAGTTTTCCCTACCCCCAAGTCATGAAGGTTTTCTTCTATCTTTTCCTACAGAAGTTTTATCATTTCAGATTTTCTGTTTACATGTATGGTCCATTTTAACTTAACTTTTGCATACAGATGTAGGGTAAGGTTAGAAGTTAATGCACATCCCCCCTCATGGAGATATCCAGTTGTTATAACGCCATTTGTTGAAAATGCAATGCTTTCCTCCAGCACTGTGGTATTTTTGTTGAAAATCAATTTACTTATTACTTATTTTAGGTCTCTTCTGGATACTTTATTTTGTTCCTCTGGCCAATATGTCTATCCTTGCACGTATTCTACACTCTCTTAATTTCTGTATCTTTAGAGTAATTCTTCTGCATTGTGGTGAAATATATATGACATAATATTTATCATTTTAGCCATTTGTTCAAATCATTGAATACATTATTAATGTTGTATAACTCTCACCACTATCTATGCCCAAAAATTTTTCATCATCCCCAACACAAACTCTGTACCACAAAACAATCACTCCCTGATTCTCCTCCCAATTGCCCCTGTTATCCTCTATCCTACTTTCTATATTATGAATTTGCCTTTTCTAGAGACCTCATATAAGTGGAATCTTACAATATTTGTCCTTCTCTAACTGGCTTATTTGAATAAGCATAATATTTTCAAGATTAATCCATGTTGTAGTATACATCAAAATTTCATTCCTTCTATGACTAAATAAAATTCCATTTTGTGTATATACCACATTTTGCTTAGCCATTAATTTGTTGATGGACACAGAAATTCCTGCCTTTTGCATATTGTGAATAACGCCATTATGAACACAGGTGTAAAAATATCTCCTCAAGTCCCTGTTTTCAATTCTAAGGATATTGAATATATATCCTAAGAGAGGATATATATTTAAGAGTGAAATTGCTGGGTCATATGGAAGTTCTATGTTTAATGTTTTGAGAAAATGCCAAACTGTTTTTCACATTGGTTGCACCATCTTACATTTCCACCAGTAGGGTACAAGGATTCCAATTTCTCCACATCTCCATCAATACCAACCAACAGGGGAAAAAGGAGAGCAATTATTTTCAATTTTCAATTTATGATTGACACATGGTAATTGTACTACATATGGGGTGCAGTGCGATGCTTCAATGCATGTTACATTTTCTAATGATCAAATTATGGTAATTACCACATTCATCACTTTAAACATTGATCATTTCTTTGTAGTGACAACATTCAAAATTTTCTCTTCTAGCCTCCTGGAAATATACACTACATTGTTACTTGCTATAGTCACACTACTATGTATAGAACTTATTCTTACTATCTATAGTAAGTGGGAACTTATTCTTCCTGCTTATAATTTTATACCCATTGACCAATCTTTCCTGGTCCTCCCAACCTCCCTACCTTCCCTAGCCTCTGCTAACCACTATTCTAGTCTTCACTTCTATGAAATCAACTTTTTTAGATTCCAAATCTGAGTGAGATCATGCAGTGTTTGTCTTTCTCAGCTTGGCTTATTTCACTTAATATAATGTCCTCAGGTTAATTCATGTTGCCACAAATGGCAGACTTACATTCTGGTTTATGGCTGAATAGTATTCCACTGTTTGTGTGTGTGTATACATTATCTATGTAATATATGTATAATATACATATATTACATTTTCTTTATTCATTTATCTGTAGATAAGCATTTAGGTGGATTCCTTATCTTGGCTCTTGTGAATAGCACTGCAATAAATATGGGAGCACTGATGTTTCTCCAACTGTCTTCATTTCCTTTGAATATATACCCTGTAATGGGATTGCTGGATCATATTTGTTTTTATCATGGCCCTCTTTCTTTTCTTTTCTTTCTCTTTCTTTCCTTCTTTCTTTCTTTCTTTTTCTTTCTTTTCTTTCTTTCTTTTTCTTTTTTCCCTCCCTCCCTCCTTTCTTTCTTTTTTTCTTTCTTTCTTTCTCTTTCTTTCTTTTCTTTCTTTCTCTTTCTTTCTCTCTCTCTCTTTCTTTTTCTTTCTTTCTTATACAAAGACTCTGTCAATTAGGCTAGAGTGGCACAAGATCACAGCTCACCACAGCCTCAAACTCCTGGGCTCAAGCGATCCTCCTGTCTCAGTCTCCTGAGTAGCTGGGACAAAAGGCATGTGCCACCACACCCAAATAAATTTTTATTTTTGTAGAGACAAGGTCTTGCTATGTTGTCAGGGCTGGTCTTGAACTCCTGCCTTTAAGCCATCCTTCCACCTTGGCCTTCCGAACTGCTGGGATTAAAGGCATGAGTCACCGCACCCAACCTGACATAATGGCCATCTTAGCGGGTATGAAGTGGTATCTTACGCTTTTGATTTGCTTTTACCTAACAATTTCATGTTGAGCATCCATGTACACATCTTCTTTGGAGAAATATTTTTTATGGTATTGCCTGTTTCTTAATTAGGCTGGTTTTTTGTGGTTGTTGTTGAATTGTAGAGTTCTTTATATATTCTGGATCTTAGTCCCTTAGTAGATAAATGATTTGCAAATATTTTCTCCTATTCTGTAGGTTGTCTTTGCACTTTCTTGACGACCTTTTGATGCACAAAAGTTCTTTATTTTTATGAACTATAATTAATCTATTATTTTGTTGTTGTTTTCTGTGCTTTTCTTGTCACATCCATGAAATTATTCCCAAATTGTCATGAAGATTTCTTCCAATTTTTTTCCATGAAATGTATAGTTTTAGCTCTTAGGCTCAGTGTTTGATTGATTTTGAATTAATGTTTGTATATGGTATAAAGTAAGGGTTCAACTTTATTATTTTGCATGTGGATGCCCAGTTATTCCAGCATCATATGTTGAAAAGATTCCTTTCCCCACTGAATATTCTTAGTGTCTATGTTGAAAACTGATTTACTATATATGTGATATATGTGAGCATTTATTTCTGAATGATTCCATTGGTCTATATATCTTCCCTTATGCCAGGTAATATATTGGTTTTTTAGTTTTGTTTTGTTTTGTTTTTAAGATGGAGTCTTGCTCTGTCGCTCAGGCTGGAGTGCAGTGGTGAAATCTCAGGTCACTGCAAACTCTGCCTCCTGGGTTCAAGCAATTCTTCTGCCTCAGCCTCCCGAGTAGCTGGGACTATAGGTGCATGCCACCATGCCAGGCTACTTTTTGTACTTTTAGTAGAGACAAGGTTCACCATATTGGCCAGGCTGGGCTCGAGCTCCTGACCTCAGGTGATCCACCTGCCTCGGCCTCCCAAAGTGCTAGGATTACAGGCATGAGCTACCGTGCCTGGCCCCATGTTGTTTTAATTAGTGTAGCTTCATAGTACGTTTCAAAGTTGGAAAGTATAATCACTCAAAGTTTATTATTCTTTTTCATTGTTGTTTTGGCTATTCAGGGCCTCTTAAAATTCCATATGAACTTGAGGATCCATTTTTCCATTTCTGGGAAAAAGACTGTTGGAATTTTGATAGAAATTGTATTGAATCTGTATATTTCTTTGAGCGGCACTGACATCTTAACAATTTCAAATCTTGTTATACATGAACACAAGATGTCTTTTCATTTATTTAGGTCTTTAATTACTTTCAGCAATGTTTTGTATTTTTTAAGCATAGAGGTCTTTCATCCCCTTGATTAGATTTATTCTAAAGTATATTTTAGGTGGCATTATAAATGAAATTGCTTTTTAAATGTTCTTTTTATATTGTTTATTGCTGTTATACAGAAACAACAATGATTTTTTTGGGTTGCTGTTATATCTTGAACCTTGTTGAATTCCTTTATTAGGTCTAGTAACTTTCTTGTGGATTTGGGAGGATTTTCTATATAGGAAGATCATGTCATCTGAAAATAGAGATGGCCTTAATCTCTTCTTTTCTAATTTGGATGAATTTTATTTCCTTTTATTTTCTAATAGCTCTAGCTAGAGCTTTTAGTACAATATTGAATAGCAGCACTGAAAGAAAGCATTCTTATACAGTTCCTGATCTTAGGGGGAAAGCTTTTAATCTTTCACCACTGAATATGAAATGAGCTGTGTGTGTTTTATAAATAAACTTTACATATTGAGGAATTTTCCACCTCTTCCTAGTTTTATGAGAGGTTTTCTCATGAAAGGCATTTCATCAAATGCCTTTTCTACTCCAAGTGAGACGATTGTGTGTGGGTTTTCCAACATTATATTAATGTGATGTATTACATTTGTTGATTTTCTTATTGTACCATCCTTGTATTTTGCTTATGAATTTCACTTCATCATAGAATAATCCTTTTCAAATATTTTGTTGGCAATTTTTATATCTACACTTATAAAGGATATTAATCTGTAATTTTCTTTTCTTGTGACATAATTATCTGGTTTTGGTGTCAAGGTAATGGTGGCCTCATAGAATGAGTTAGGCAATTTTCCCTTCTCTTCAAGTTTTCAGAAGAGTTTGAGAATAATATTTTTTTTCTTTACATTTTGGTGGAATTCACTGGTGAAGCCAACTGATCCAGAAGTTTCCTTTGTTGGGAAGTTTTAGATTACAAATCTTTTTACTTGTTACGGATCTGTCAAGATTTTCTATTTCTTCTTGAATCATTTTAGGTAATTTGTGTGTTGCAAGGAATTTGCCCATTTCTTATACAGTATCTAATTTTTTGGGATATAATTTTTTATAGTATTCTTTTACAATACTTTTTCTCTCTATAAGGTCAGTAATAATGTCCTCACTTTTATGTCTTGTTTTAGTTGTTTTATTGTCTTTTTGCTTTTCAGTATATGTAAAGGTTTATCAATTTTGTTGATCTTTTAAAAGAATCAACATTTGGGTTCATTGATTTTCTCTATTGTTTTTCAATTCTCTATGGAGATTTCTCCTCTGCCCTACTAAAATTGTGCTAGAGTAATTCTCGAAATCAGATAGTGTAAATCTTCCAACTTTGTTCTTTTTCAAAATTGTTTTGGCTGTTCTAGGTCATATGAATTTCCATATAAGTTTTAGAATTAGTTTATTGATTCCTACAAAAATCTTGCTGGGATATTGGTTGGAATTGTACTGAACCTATAGATAATTTATAAACAATTTACTTCCTAGTAATATGTAGTCTTCTGATCCATGTCCATGAAACATGTCAATATTTTCTTATATCTCATTTCATTTCACTCAGCATTATTTTATTATTTTCAATGTATAAGTCTTATGCATACTTTGTTAAACCTATCTGTAATTATTTCATTTTTTCTTGATATTGTACATAGTATTTTAAATTTACTTTTAAATGTTCATTCCTACATATAGAAATGCAATTTATTTTTATATACTGGTCTACTATGACCTTTCTAAACTAACTTATTAGTTCTCATAGTTCTTTTTAATAGAGTTCCTAGAATTTTCTTAGTAGATAACCATTTTAAATATTAATAAAGACATTTTTACTCCCAAACTTTATGCCTCATTCTTCTTGCCCTATTACACTGTATAGCCTCCAATACAATGTTTAAAATAAGTGATGAAAATAGTCAATCTTTCCTTGTTCTTGATCTTAGGATGAAAATGTTCAACATTTCACTCTTAAATATGATGTTATTTGTAGGTTTTTTACAGAGCAAATTTACTCTGTTATGCAAATTTTAAAAAATAATGAATGGGTATTGGCTTTTGTCATTTTTCATCTTATGCTTTCACCTTTATTGTATTATTTGTATACTATACAACTAGAGGAGAGTACAAACCCTGTTTTAAGCCCTTTAGAAACAATATTAAAGTAAGTTACTCACACTAAATTACTTTTCAATTGAATTCAGTGAATACAGATCTTTAATCCACTAATGGCATAGTAACGTGCAAAGTACAACAGGGGATTCAAAAATAATAAAATATGTACCTTGATCTCAAGAAAAGGAAAGGAAAAGTGAACTCTACATTTACAGAGAAATTTCTCTGTGCCAGTTTCTGTGCTTGAAAGTATTATTTCACATGATCTTTAGTCATAGCCACCCTGAAGTAGGAAATAGGTGGTTATTAATACAAGAAGCATAGATCAGAGAGGAAAGCACAGGACCTTGGATTCAACTACAATGTTTAAATCCTTCCTAGGTAAACAGCTCTACAATACTGGTCTGGTTATTTAACATCTCTGAACCTCAGTTGCCTCAATTCTAAAAGAAGGATAATAACTTTATAGGGATGTCATACCAATTCTTTGGGATGACTTTGGAACTTTGTCTAGCATCTGGTAATCACTGAGTTCTCATTAATGATGAGGAAATTTAAAATCATAGCACTTGAGAGCTTGAATAAACAGAGAAACTATAATTCATTCTTCCAAACCTCTTTTTAAATGAAAGAATAAATTAAAATTCACATGAAACAAAAGTTTGAGGATTCTTAGAAATATAGAAATCTCTTCCAAAGTACCATTTATACTCACATAAATAGTCCTTCAATAGAGATGAAATATAGGTGTGAAAAACTAATTAGGAGAGTGGGAAATACAATGTATTATGTAAGAGAATGTGTAGATTCTCAATCTAGGCCTGCTATTAGCCAACGAGGTAAGCATAATTAATTCATTTAATCACTGAGTTCTGATCCACTTCATCAAATAGAACAAGTAGTCTATTCTGACTCTATGAATTACCTCAGAAAGGTGTAATTCATGGAGTCAGAATAAAAAGCAGTAGGTTGTGCTTCAGTAACAACCTCCTAAAAATTATAATAATAACATGAGAACTAATGGAAAGCATTGCAGGTTGTATCAGATGCTGTCACTTAGCTGTTTAAAAAACTCCAATAGCTTTCTCTTATTTGTAAAGGAAAGTCCAAATTTCCTAGCCTAGCATGCCATCTAATAATATCAGCAATATCTAACTGTTTACCCTCTGCCATCACACCATGCTGTATCACAATCTTGTGTTTTTGTACCCGCTATTCCACTGCTGCTTCTACCTGGATTCTGACTCCTGTCTTATTTCATCTTACTGTCTATGCCTGCGTAATTCCTACTCAGCTGTTAAGATATAGATTAAATATTGCCTTTTCTGTAAAGCATTTCCAGGTTGTCTCAGAATCAGGTCATCTTCTATGTTTCCATAAAGCACTAAGTATCTATTGCATTTGCTGAATTGTATTACTATTATCTATTTATATGTTGATGTACAGATAATTGTGAGCACCTTAAGGGAAAAACCCACATATAACTGTCTTTGATTCCCAGCATTTAGTTCATCTAGGTGATCAATAAACCATTACAGATTAAGCATGAATATATGAATATTGACTAGATGATATAAAATGTCTCAGAAGCTTTATAATATTAAGTATGGGAGGAATTTTTGAGGCAATCTTAATCAAATTCCTCTGTTTAATATTTGAAAAACTAAAAGGTGATGACTTTTCTAAAATAATACCAATAAGTTGATGGTAAAGGCAGGGCTGGCATTTGTTTTCTGCCTTCTCATTTAGATGTTATTTCCTATCTACTGTCTTAAGTCAGAGATGAAAAGTAACTTGGAAAAAAAATCAGACATAATTCTGTCATATTAATTACCCTCATCCTTGGTTTTATAGGTTCTGTTTTTCTTGCCTTCGGATGTTACTCAAAATAGTGAACAACCTGCCGCAGAAGAAAATGCTCAATTACAATTTGTGCTTCAAGAAGAGTTTTCCAGTGATGATTCAACAACATATGCACACTCTGTTTTCTTTGGAGGCTATGCTTTCTTCAAGTTAAGACTCTCTAGAAGTCCTTTAGTCTCCCAACCAGGTAATAAAGGTACGGAATTTGTGCCAGATGAACAAAAGCAAAGTATCCTTCCATCTCCCAAATTTTCAGAGGAAGAAATTGAACTAAAACCTTTGCCTCCTACATTAGAAGAAAAGCCCTCAGAAAATACGCCCATTCAGCTAGACTCTACATTTAAACAAATGAAAGATGAAGATCTACAATCTGCTATTGTACAACCTTCCCAAATGCAAACCCAGTTTCCGCAGGACCAAGCTGTGTCACTCCAAGTTTTTCCATCCCATTCTATACTAAAACTCGAAGATCTACCACCTGAAGACTTGCCATCCCAAGCTCTACCAGTAGAAGGCCTGTCAGAACAATCCATGCCATCTAGGTCTACAACATCTCATGACAAACAGTCTTATAATCTGACAGCTAATGACCTTCCCCCTCAAGGCATACTATCCCAAGACACACCACCTCAAGATATGCTGTTGCCTGACATGACATCCCAAGACATGAAATCCCTAGATATGCTATCTCAAGACACATCATCCCACAACATGCCACCCCAAGACACACCTTCCCAAGATATGCTATCCCAAGCTCTATCAGCACATGCCATATTACCTGAAGCCTCAACACCCCATATTGTGCAGTTCCCTAAAATACAACAGCTACTTCAGCAGCCCCCAGATCTTCAACCAGAAAACACCGAACCTCAAAACCAGCAAATTTTACAAATGTCATATCAAGATATTAGATCAGAAGTTACGGAAGAGACCAAAGAATGGAAATCTCAGGAGGAACTCCATAGAGGAAAATCCTCAAGACGGCATTCCTTAAACCAGCAAACCAAAGCCTTGCAATACTTAAGGAGATATTCTTTAGACATGCAAACCAAAGGCCATAAATCCTCAAAGAGGCGTTCCTTAGATCAGCAAAGCAAAGGCTGGCAATCTCCAAAGCGGAAATCCTTAGACCAGCAAATCAAAGACTGGCTATCCCCAAAGAGGCACTCCATAGATAAGCAAGTTCAACTTAATCAAACTACCGAGCAACTCCCAGATCAACAAGCTGAAGATCAGCAAGCCAAAGGGGAACAATACCCAGAAGGACAATCTAAAGATGGACAAGTTAAAGACCAGCAGACTGATGAGGAGCAACCCTCAAAGAAGCAAATCCAGGATCAGCAAACCAAAGACCAGCAGACCCAAGAGAAGAAATCCCTGAAAGGACAATCCCAAAATGTTCGAGCCGAAGGACAGCAAGCTCAGGCGGAGAAAGTGCCAAAACTGTTATGCCAAGATTCAGAATCCCAAATACAGCAATACCAATACTGGCAATCCCCACAAAGGCAGTCTCCAGACTGGACAACCCAAGACTGTCAATCTTTTGGCCAAGAATCCCCTGAATGGATAACTCAAGGCTGGAGAAACAAAGATTATAAAGCAAGAGAATGGCAATTTGAAATGCAGCCCTGGCAAACACAGGATCTATTAGAGAAAGAAGCCCTAAAGCAGATAGCTCTATACCGAGAAGTCCAAACCCAGCACACAACAGCCCAACATAACCTAGAATGTCAAGCCAGTCAAGATAAAGACCAAGAAGACCTTCAATCCAGAGTTACACAGAAAGGAGATATATATACTAGAGACATCAAACCAGGGGACATGAAATGTACAGGGCAAGTCTCAGGAGACCTGCAATCAGAAAACGTGAAGCCAGATTTTCATTCTTCTTCTGGCCAAAGCTCAGTACAAGACACGTGTATAGGCTATTTGTCCCATCTAGATTCAGAACAAGATGTGCAGCCAAACACTTCAGCTTCCTCAAATTCCTCAAAATATAAAGAAGATGTGAATGTAACTTCTACTTCATGTGATCCAAAAGAGCAACAGCAATCTGAAGACTCTGACTAACATGCAGAATCTACCCAAGTGCCTCACTGCCCCCGTTAATGGAATTAAATTAGGAAAAAACAATATTGTCACCTCCAACCTGCATACTCAATTGTGGTTGCTACCTAATTAGCTTACAAAAAAATGAAGGGCATGCTGAGCACTCAATTTGTTCTTACTTAAAATAAAATGACAACAAACCAAATGTTAACACTGTACCATCACTTTATGTATGTGAAGAAATAATTCACATGTATACTCCTTGTCATCAAAGTTAGGGCTTCGGTTTATAATCACGATTTCATCTTATAACTTAATATCTAATGGCCCTACTTTGGTGTGATGCTAGTATTTTTCATCTCCCCCTTTTGGCATTATAGGAGTTCAGAAAATCAACCACAGGGAAGTCTGTGAAGGCTCTCTAAGGGTTCATGAACCAAAAGAGTCAGCAAGAAACAACAATTTCTCCCATTTCCCTGTCTTGCTGTTTCCAATCCTCTTATTTACTCTCCCTCCTTATATCTATGTTGAGGATATATGGACTGAGTTTGTTCAATTGTTAATGAGGTAGAATGTGGCAATGAATACAGAATGTGACAGATGGAGTGGGAAGGATTAAGAGATATCTAGAGATAGGAAAGTAGAAATTAGGGAAGAACAGAGATGCAGATGTCATAATAGAAAATATGACATAATGTATTGTATTGAGTGAAACTTCAGCTCCCTTCTTTATGCCTGCATTTACTGATTCTAATTTCTCAACCCTTATGATACATAATTTCATCCTCTGTCATCATAGGAAATTGTGTTATCAAAAGCTATCAGTTACCTCAATCTTCCAAGCCTAATCATGTGTTATCAAAAGCTATCAGTTACCTCAATCTTCCAAGCCTAATCATGTAAAGTTTGACTCCTAAAATTGCCAGCATTATTTCTACAATATTTTTTTCCCTTGTGCACTGGCCAGATGTAGAGAATCTAGGATCCACAAGATCTTGAGTCTCTAGAGAATGGAGCCTGGTCCATAAATCATGGTGTAGATTACTTCGAATTTGAATATTCAACTGGATTGTGGTCTAAAAGAAAAACCCGTATTAGGGCAAGGAATGCATGGAGCTGTTTGGCTAGAAGGTAGTCTAAGCTGAGTAATAGAGTCTTTAAGGCACAAAAAAAGTCAAATATTGCTCAAAATGGCAGGAATCTTACTCGTATCTCCTTGTGTTAGTTACCTACTGCTACATAACAAATTGCCACAAAGGTAGCTGCTTAAAACAACAAGCTTATTATCTCTCAGTTCAGAAGCCCAGGAAAGTTTGGTTAAATTATTTGTTCAGACTATCACATGGCTAAAATCAGAGGACTGGCCAGGGCAGTGGTTCTGGGGTTGGGCTCCTCTTCAAAGTTCATCCATTGTTAGAAGAATCCAGTCCTTGTGGCTGCAGGACTGAGGTTCCCATTTCCTTGCTGGCTGTCAGCTGAGAACTGCTCCTGCGTTCCTTCTCGTGTGATCCCTTCCATCTTCAACCCAGTAACAGTTTGTCAAGTCTTCTCAAACCCAAATCTGACTCCCTCTCCTGTATCTGGTTTTAAGGAGTCATTTTATTACACTGGACTTACTCGAATAATCCAAGATAACCTATTTTAAGATAAATCGATTAATAACCTTAAATTTCTGTGCTCCTTTTCTCATTGAATATAACCACAATCAGGAAAGACTGTGGGCTCCCATAAATAGTGAACATGGAAAAATACACATAATTTTAAAAATTAATGTTTTCCTAATTTCTTAGAAACACGTTTGACTTTTAAAGTGGGAAATAACTGAGTGGTGTTTTAAAGAGATTACTGTGGCTGCAGTGTGGAGGATGAATTGGAGAAAGAAAGATGGAGGCAGGGAGTCAATTAGGTCTTGATATAGTGAAGAAAGAGATACTAAGTGATCTAGGGATGTATAGAAGAGTAGAGACTAAAACGGTAACTCAAGAGTAAAATTGTCATGATAGGACAGGAACTAGAGGTGTAGAATTGAGGAAAATGAAGAATAAACCATCTTCTCTAGCTTAAAAGATTAGCTGGCTGAGACATCATTACCATCAACAAAACAGAGCAAGAGGCACAGGTTGGAGCAAGAGTAAGGGGCATAATCAGTTCTTTCTAGTGTGGTGTATTAATCAGGGTCCTCCAGAGAAACAGAACCAAGAGGATTAGATAGATAGACAGATACAGACAGACATATAGAATATAGAAGATAGATGATTGATAGATAGATAGATAGATAGATAGATAGATAGATAGATAGATAGATAGATAGATAGATAGATGAGGAATTGGCTCACATGATTATAAGGCTGAGAAGTCCCAAGATCTGAAAGCTGGAGACCCAGGAGAGCTGATGGTATAGTTCCAGTCTAAGTCCAAAGGCCTCAGAACCAAGAGTTTAAATTCCAGTTCAAGTCTTAGTCCGAAGATAGGAAAAGTCCAGTGTCCCAGCTCAAAGACAGGCAGAGAAAGCAAATTTTCTCTTGCTCAGGCTTTGCTTTTACTTAGGCCCTTATTGGAGACATTGAAAGTGACACTGGGTTTTACCACCATTCGTGGAATAAGATTTAAAGACACTATTATTATTTATAATTTAAAAAAAAAAAAGAAAACTAGAGGATCTGGAGACTCCTAAGCAGGTGACATCTGGCCACAACAGTTGACTGCACTAACTCTGCTCCCAGAATTGTTCTCTCCAGAGGATGGATATGGATTTTTTTTAAAGGAGAGCTTTAACAAAAGAGAAAAATAAGAGAAACTTAAAAACAAAGAAAATTGACTTTCAGTTGCAGTAACAGAAGAATGAGAGATTAAATGAAGCCATCCATTCAGTCTACCAATGTAAATGTTAACCTTATCCAGACACATCCTCATAGACATACTCAGAATAAAGTTTAACCAAAAATCTGGGCACCTATGGTTCAATCAAGATGATGCATACAATTAACCATCAAAAGGCCATCCCTTGTCAACCTCACACTCATATGCATCTCCTTAAGCCATACTTAATCTCCAAATAAAGACTAAAAGGTCATAATTCTTCATTATATGTTACAACTGTCATGCATACAACTGTAAATGTACCAACCTCTTCTCAGAAGAAGGGTAAAGTCTGTGAATGATGTTTACTCTTCTCCTTACTGTCTAGCAACTTCTATGATTTAAATCATATGATGTAAAGTTAACAATACTTAATACTATAATATAAACATGCCTTAGGTTACATGATTAGAGAATGAGAGGGAAAAGATTGTGTGTGTGTGTGTGTGTGTGTGTGTGTGTGTGTGTGTATGTGGTTTCTATAACTGGATAGTAGTGTATATTACCATAATATATACGTTTTCTTCTTGCAAATTGGGAAAGGGAGTGAGGGCATAAAAATCCCATCTGACCACAGTGAAACAAAGAATCTTTTTGTTCTTTAAACATAAAATTCCTAGGTAGTCACAAAGGGAATATCTAATACCTATGTGTAAGTCCGAAATTAGTAATTAGAGTGTGTATGTCAGAAGATACTGTAGGAAATCCCTGGTGCTGCCTTTGTAGGTTCTGTAGAATAGTCTTCTAATCTTATTTTTAAAGTATGCTATACATGCAAGATTGTACTAGTACTACTTCAGAGTAGTGAAGAAGCAGGATGAAAACCAACAGGACAGTGCAGTGAGAAAAACAGTCAACACAGACAGAAGCCCAGACATGCAGAGAAAACTAAGAATTCAATAGATGCAGAAAATCAGAGCTTGAGACCACTCCACACGATAGAAGTCCCAGTGGCTCCCCTTCCCTCGTATTCACTTGCATCTTCCAAGAAATGTCTGGAGACATTGAGAGTGACACTGGGTTTTGCCATCGTTCATGGAATAAGATTTAAAGACACTATTATTGTTTATAATTTTAAAAAACAAAAAAATTATTGTTTATAATTTTAAAAAACAAAAAAAATTATTGTTCATAATTTTAAAAAACAAAAAAAACTTTGGGGACTCCTAAGCAGGTGACATCTGGCCACAACAGTTGACTGCTCTAATTCTGCTCCCAGAGTTGTTCTCTTCAGGGTATGGATATGGATCTTTTTAAAGGAGGGCTTTTGCAACAGAGGAAAATAAGAGAAACTTAAAAACAAAGAAAATTGACTTTCAGCTGCAGTAACAGAAGAATAAGAGAAATAATATAGAGTGTTTTTCTTGGAACTTTCCAGCAAGGGCATCAGATGAGAGGCTGTGAGGAAAGGCTTAATCCCATTGACTGTGAATCAGAGAACTTGGATTCCTTGGATCATCATAACTTCTCTGGAATACTTAGCAATAAGAAGCTTGAAATTAAGGCTGAATTTCAGAACATTAACGAATACAAACATATTATATATTATTCCATAAACCACCTTAAGACTAGAGTAATTTGCACTAAAAGAGTAGATTTTGGCAGATTGGAAAATAAGAAGAAATCTGAGGATATGAAAAATTGTTGAAGTAGTGAATAGATACATGTCACCAATGTATAAAGGGGCCTAGGGCATTTATTAGCAGGAGGCCATGAAGTCCCACAGCCACCCTGAAATGGAGAAATTGTAAAATAACGTCTGCACTGGGGCCAGGCACGGTGGCTCGTGCCTGTAATCCTACCACTTTGGGAGGCTGAGGCAGGCGGATCACGAGATCAGGAGATCAAGACCAACCCGGCCAACACGGTGAAACCACGTCTCTACTAAAAATACAAAAAATTAGCCAGGCATGGTAGCAGGCACCTGTAATCCCAGCTACTCGGGAGGCTGAGGCAGGAGAATGGCATGAACCCAGGAGGCAGAACTTGCAGTGAGCTGAGATCACGCCACTGCACTCCAGCCTGGGCAACAGAGTGAGATTCCGTCTCAAAAAAAAATAAAAATAAAAATAAATGAATAAAAAAAATAATGTCTGCACTGATTCAGTGTGACACTTCCAGTGTTATAGTTAAGCTCATAGAAATACATTTAGCCTATAAAGAATCAACAAAAATGAACTTTGGAAATAATGCAAACATAAAGCAAGACAAAGTATCTGCTCACCATGCTAAAAATGGCAACAATAAGAGAAATAATACTTATTACTCTTATTTTTATTAGTACTACAATTTACTTAGCATCTACTGCATTCCAGGTACTTTAAAATTCACTCATGATAACTGTATAACAATTTTTATTCTCACGAGAGAAATGTAATGTTTTAATAAATATGTAAATTAATAGATAACTTGGCCTAGACCCCATAACTAGTAAATAAAAGAGCTTGGGGTTCATTCTAGGTTTATCCAAAGAGTAAGTCTTCCACTGCAATGCCAGAATTAGCTTGCATGAATTAAAGAATAATAAAAATTAAAGTTATATTTCTGCCCTTTGTCAGATAGCTATTAGAACACTGTGCTGGTCATAATGCTTAGAGGGAGAGAAAACAAAAACTGGGGAAGGTCTAGAGCAAAGCTAAAACCTGAGTAATGAGGGTGAAATGGTGTTTTATAAAAGTATGTTGCAACATAGTGTGCTTAACCTAGGGAACGCTAACACAACATCAGATGATGTTCACGAAGGATAATCACCATTATGATTCAACGTCCATAGAAAATTGAACAAGAGATGGATACGTTCAGAGAAAAGAAATTGTGAGGGAGGGGTGGCCTTTTAAAATATTCTAACTGGCAAGTGGCTAGAGGCTGTCACATCATGAGGTTCAATTAAGGAAGACCCGATCTCAATAGAAAACACCAGAAAATGACAAGGTACAGTTAAAAATAGACACAAATTGTTCCCCTCCCTTCATTCTTGTCCTTTCAAGATGGAAGTACAGATCCTCCCATGAAGACATTAGGGGGCCTATTTTCTTACCCCTTGAATCTGGGTTGTCTAGGAAATTTGCTTGGCCAATATGACATTAGCACACATGACTCAGCAGAGGTCTGAAAAGTATTTGTGAATTGGAAGAGAACCAAGAGTCTGCCAACTGCCAGAGACACAACTGAGGCCATCCTAACTCACGGAATTGAACACCCCACCAGGTGACCACGGTTGCATAAGAGAGCCTAGTAGAGAAGTGCTGAGCAGGCTCAGATAAGAGACCACACCCAGGACCCATGGTGTGTAAACAAAAGCCGATGGTGGTTGCCGGAAGTAACTACATTTTGAGGGATTTATTACACAGCTAAAGCTACTTAAATCAGGTGGCAAAACCACAAAGTGACAGGAAAAATGGATGTTATCTATACTTTAAGAAGTGGTTAATTTGTTCCGTGGCCTGAGAGGTTTTGCGTTCTACCTGTATCTGAAGATATGGAACTGGAATAAATGTGTATCTAGTTGCCATTTGGTAACCAAAATGTCCTTTTTTGTTTTTGTTTTGTTTTGTTTTGTTTTGTTTTTTGAGACAGAGTCTCGCTCTGTCGCCCAGGCTGGAGTGCAGTGGTGCAATTTCTGCTCAAAGAAACCTCCGCCTCCTGGGTTCAAGCGATTCTCATGCCTCAGCCTCCCGAGTAGCTGGGACAACAGGCAGGCGCCACCACACCCGGCTACTTTTTTATTTTTATTTATTTATTTTTTTGAGACAGAGTCTCGCTCTGTCGCCCAGGCTGGAGTGCAGGGGCCGGATCTCAGCTCACTGCAAGCTCCGCCCCCCGGGTTCACGCCATTCTCCTGCCTCAGCCTCCGGAGTAGCTGGGACCACAGGCGCCCGTCACTTCGCCCGGCTAGTTTTTTGTATTTTTTTTTAGTAGAGACGGGGTTTCACCGGGTTAGCCAGGATGGTCTCGATCTCCTGACCTCGTGATCCGCCCGTCTCGGCCTCCAAAAGTGTTGGGATTACAGGCGTAAGCCACCGTGTGCGGTCCCTAAAATGTCTTTATATGTAGACCATCTAGTCCGATTTGGTCAATGTACATATGAGGAATCAGAAACCAGGAAAGGGGGATGTGACTTGCCAAAAGTCACAGTAAACCCCTAACTAACCAGGACTACTTGTCAGGTTGTCCGATCCCCAGTCCCAGGCATTTTACTTAGGGCTGTCTTGGGATCTCGAGCCGTCCTGAGATTCTATGACTCTGTGACTCTACGGTTCTATAATTCCAAGACAAAGCGAACAATTCCAGTGCTCCAGGCAGCCTCAGCACAAGAAAAGAACATGGTCGAGGCTGAAGTACCAACTAAATAATCTCCTTTCACATTTTCACGGACACCATCATGGATTCAAGCATGGCACACAGTCCGGTGTTTCTGGTATTTCCTCCAGAAATCACTGCTTCAGAATATGAATCCACAGAACTTTCAACCACCACCTTTTCGACTCAAAGCCCCTTGCAAAAATTATTTGCTACAAAAATGAAAATCATAGGGGTAAGTAAGACTTGCCCCTATGTATATTCTACCGAGGCAGGGGAAAGGCCAGGAAAATTATCTCTTGGCACATGTTTGAAGGTAGGAGCCCATTCCAATTCTTCTTTAAGAATATGTGAATATAGAGTGTTAGTGGGACATTTGAGAGAGGATGTTTGACAAGAACGAATCACATGGGTCTGGACTTGACAAAAACATGCTATCATTTAGGACTCACTTCCTTAAAAAGTGATAGTTGCTATGGCAGTAAATGAGATTCCTCAGACTGAGAAGGTGGGCTGAGAAGAAGAAAGCAGAGCACATAGACTCACACGTTGTACACCTTCCATTTTTGTATGTTGTCCTCATTAGTCTTCCCCAGCACTTGTCAAACCACTGCCTGGTGTCACAGGCTCAGAGAATTGGCCATCTCCAGGTCAATTCTGCTTGGGGCCAGCCTGGTATACTCATTTAGAATTCAGTGTTTCTCAAACATTCACATTTATGGGCTAAAGAGCTGAAGAGCTTATGAAGACACAGATTTCCCAGCCTCACCTGGAGACTGTTCAGTAAGTATGGGATAGGGCCTGATAGTTCACATTTCAGGCTCCCAAGTGATCCTGATGTTGCCAATCCGTGGATCACATTTTCACGAGCACTGATTTAGATCATTTTACCCTTCACCAAATACCATATAGAGGAATTAAGTAAGTACCCAGGAGCATCACAAAGGGACTTCTATTATTCTTTCCCTAATTACCAAAGAGAGTAATTGCCAAATCCTTTTAACCAAAAGATCTTCTAAACAGAAGGGAAACTATCACTTGGCTTTTCCTCACCATGACTTTTTCCTCTATTTGCAGACTATCCAGATCCTGTTTGGAATTATGACCTTTTCTTTCGGAATTATCTTCCTTTTCACCTTGTTAAAACCATATCCAAGGTTTCCCTTTATATTTCTTTCAGGATATCCATTCTGGGGCTCTGTTTTGGTGAGTAGAGTCAATCAAGTTCAATTTGAAGCCATGCCAACCAGGATGTTAGGGAATTCTTTGCAATGAAATAAGCTAGATCCAGTTGTATGATATGCTTTCAAAAGTGCAAAAAACTAACCTTGTTGAAATGATTTCCCCATTTATTCATCACAGTCACTGATATTCCATCATTAGGTCTTGAAGTTCCTTTGAGAATATTTCTTTCGAGGCTTGAAGTTGTTTATTTGGCTATTCATTCATTTGAAATCAGTTACCATCTATTATAAGCCAGATACACAGGCGCCACCACAGGCAATGAGCCTGTCCCCCAAAGACCTCTCAGTCTAGCAAGAAAGCACGTAAACAGATCACTTCAAGGCAGTGTGATAAATATTATCACAGAGGTGCAGGAAGCCCTTATGTAGGCAGAGATGAAGGAGCAATTTATTCTTTACAGAAGTGCAGTGGGAAGGGTTTCTCAGATATACCTTTAAACTGCAGAGAGGTATTTATCAAACCCAATTTAGCCACAATCAATAAACATTAACTTAGGACCTAATTTAGTGCCACAGCATGGGCAGGGCAATGGATTCAGGGAAAAGACAGCAGTCCCTGAGCTCAAGGCCTCAGTTGAGTGAGGAGTCAGACAATTAACATAGGGTGTGATGAGGGAGAATAGACACAGGGGCTCCCTCCACAGAGGGGACAACGCCCAGAGACATTTCCAGCTTGAACGAGTTTTAAAGGGTGAATGGTTAATCAGGTGAGGACACACACAGAAGATGAGAGTTGGGATGCCTGAGTGTAAGGATTAGAGATGACTTGTTGCATGCCAAGAGAGAAAAATGAGCAAAGGCTGAAGGTATGGGAGAGCATTTTCTATTATGTGAACTTAAGAGTTCAGCACAGGGAGTGAGGGTGGAGGGATGAGGCTGGAAAATGCCCATGAAGGGGCTAGAAATGTAAACATGGATGTGCTGTAATCAGATTTGAAATTTCCACTAGACAACAATGCTACCACGTGTGACCCACTTCCAAGAAAGATCTTGGAGATTTTTAAGAACTACCAGCACATCCACCGCAACCCCACCTTATATTCCCATCCAAGAGAATACACTGGATTATAGTAAGATGGAATTCGATCTTAATGATTGTAAACTGACTTGACATCCCTTTGTCATGAGATCAAAGCTGAGTTCACAATAGCTATAAAAGGAACATGGATGAGCAAACCAAAGCCCTGTATGGTTAAAAAAAAAAAAAAAGTTCATGTTCAAATAAATAGGGCTAAAGTGGATTTCCAGACCAGTGTTTCGTCCACTATTCCATTTGCGAAAAGTCATATAAAGCAACTTACCCTTCTCACTGCCCTGAGGAGTGTGCGAACTTAGAAGGCATGTAAAAGAATTGCATAGAAGTCTATTCTGTAAGAACTCAACATCAGCTAAACATGGCCATCATTAACATATTTATTCCTCTTAACAGTTCATTAATTCTGGAGCCTTCCTAATTGCACTGAAAAGAAAAACCACAGAAACTCTGGTGAGTTATATTTCTACTTTGTTAAAAATATATTTTGTAGACAGGCAAGGTGGCTCACGCCTGTAATCCCAGCACTTTGGGAGGCCGAGGCGGGTGGATCATGAGGTCAGGAGTTCAAGACCAGCCTGGCCAACATGGTGAAACCCCATCTCTACTAAAAATATAAAATTAGCCAGGTGTGGTGGCACACACCTGTAGTCCAGCTACTTGGGAGGCTGAGGCAGGAGAATTGCTTGTACCCAGGAGGCGGAGGTTGCAGTGAGTTGAGATCATGCCACTGCACTCCAGCCTGAGCAATGGAACAAGACTCCACCCCACACACACACACACACACAAAAGAGTAATGAGTTACATTTTCACTATTTCTACTTTATTAAAAATATATAACTTTCAAATAATTTATCCTGGCCTTGAAAAAAGTTTGTAAAATCATTAAGTCACCATAATTCCACAAACTATCAAGTATTGATACCAATAAACAGCATTTGCTTCCTGTTTTCCTAGAATTATAACCCACTGCGCCAGAGGAGAAAGTTTCTCTGGTCATCTAGTTTAGCTCTTATTTTGTGTATGAAGACACTGAGGCTTACAATCGTTAAATAACTTGCCCAAATTCCCAGTCAATTAATGGTAGAATTATTTCAATAATCCAGTTACTTATTCATTCTTTTTTGTTTTCTGGGTATTTACAGCATTCCAGGCACTTTGACAGGCACTACTTTCATTCATTTGAAAGGCAAACTGTAGACAATCTAATTAAACCATAAACAGAATCTCAAAATAAAGAATACAGTGCTACTGAATGTAAAGGTATAGATAAATTATAAGTAGAATATTTTTACTTTACTCAAAGAATTGAAGACATAAAATATTACTAGGCCAATACGTGATTTTAGAAAAGGACTGAAAATCCTTCGTTTGTCATTTTAGGGAGAAATTAAAAATGGTAGAGAAGTGCAGCGTTTAATTAAACATAGGAGTCTGAAAACGAAAATGTAAATAGACCATGATTTTCACCAGAGAATCAAACTGCAATCGTTACAGGCACACCTTTCCTCCCAACTGAATGAGAGTTAACTTAGGCATAGAATATGGGGAATGGGAAGGTTATTAAAAGTTCACAGGATGCCCTCATTGTGTAGATGAGGGCCTGAAGCCCAAAGATGTGAAGCAATTCGCATAGGACCACAGAGCTGCCTCGTGGCATTAAGATGCTGTGAGCAAAATCCTGCTCTCCATTCTCTGCACTCATTGCTTTGTTTGTAGTATGGGCTGGGCCCGAGTCACATTGTTATGTTCTTATTCTATTTCAGATAATACTGACCCGAATAATGAATTTCCTTAGTGCCCTGGGAGCAATAGCTGGAATCATTCTCCTCACATTTGGTTTCATGCTAGATCAAAACTACATCTGTGGTTATTCTCACCAAAATAGTCAGTGTAATGCTGTTACTGTCCTGTTCATGGTAAGTATGTTGCATTTATAGAGTGAGAAGTAAAGGGCTTAATAGAAAATATTTATTAGCACTCAATCAGCGCCATTCAGATCATGTTGTGGACACCCATGTCTTTTCTTTTATTGACAAACATTTATGAAATCCATAATATTTGATAGATATTATACCAGGCATTGTGGAAGAGAAAAAATAAACCCATTATAACTCCCACCTTTAGGAATTCACAGGAGCACAAGAGATAAAACATATACAAAAATCAGTATAATACAAATAGAAAATGATACACTAAAAAAAAAAGGTACAGCAGTATGGCTGTAGTTTATAGTCCTATATGTACATTAGAATCACAGTGGCGTATTTTTACAGTTCTTGATTTGATTTTAACGGGCTGAACTTCTGATAAAGCATGATAAGATTGAAAAGGGGCATTTATTTTAGCTGCTTCCAAAATACCACTAAGATTAGTGTAAAAGAATGTAAAAGGTTTGATCCACATGCAGAGAAAAAGAGAGTTACCGAACACATCAAAAATTGCTGAGGAAATTGAAAACCCACCATCTAAGGCAAAGGGGCTGGGTCATATTAGAAGATATTTCTTAAGGCAAAGCCCAAGAAATACTTAACATTTGAATGCACCAGGTCCACAGAAAGCAGCACCAACGTGCAGAAAACAGGGAGACTGATTTAGGTAATGGTTAAGTATGGCTACGTGAATCAGCTCTTCTCTGAAAACAGAAGTTTTTCATTAAAAAAAACCAAAACAACCTTAAAGGTGTTAAAAAGCTGAAAGTTCAGCTGAAACTACTAAACCAATTTTTCAATGAAAGCCTGCAACCTGAAATTTACAAGTGGAATTCTGAAGAGCACGAAAGCTGCTCATGTCTTCAGACCCACTTGCCAGTGATGCTGATTTGCAATCCAATCCCTGGCCCATGTGGACTGAAAGAGAAGGAAGTCAAGGTTTCATGTCCATTCAAGGTATAAAGACTTAAAAGAGATTTTCTCCATATGAAACTAGGTCTTTGATAGGCTACGACGCTCTTCAGGTAAGGACAAAAAGATATACAAAGTACCCTGCCCCCAAACAGCAAAGAACAGTTGCTGAACAAAGTTTAAAAAGAAGTATTTGAGAAGTGTGGCCACAGGCCAAACCCCTTGACAACCTCCTTGCACACCCCGATCCCCACTGACCGTTGCTAGGCATAAACTGGGTGAGGCAAGAATACCTGAATTTGGTCTTGGTATGTGGTGCCCCTGGTACGTGGCAGAAGCAAAACCAAAGTCTATCTAGGGGAAAAACGTTCATTAATCTCAATAAATTCCCATCAAATTTTCCATTGAAAATTAACAGTAGGCACTCAAAAGAGGCATAAAAAGAAATAAGACAACGCAAATGACAACTAATAGAAACAGAATAAAGCAAAAACAATAGCACCCATAAACTTCTGATACTAAGTATATTAGAAGAGATTTTTAAACCACAGTATTTATCACGTTTTAAGAAATAAATGATGAACTTTAAAATACCTCAGGGAATATAAAATCACAGAAAGTGAAATAGAAGATTTTCTATGTAAAACTATTATGTACCCATAAAAATAGAAAATTTAAAAATTTAAATTTTTTAAAAAGATGGTCCCAGTAAATAAAAGTAAAAAAAAAAAAAAAAACACACAACTGCATTCTGTTTACAAGAAACAGCTGCACTAATAGCAAACAAACAGATTTAAGGCAAGAAGCATTACTAAACATATAATAGAGGACTTTCTGTAATAAAAGGGTCAATCCACAAGAGAAATATTACATTTCTAGGTTTGAATGCTCCTCATAACATCTCAAAGCCAAAAGGAAAAGCTAATTCAGCTGAAAAACATGACTAGAGAAAACTAAAATCATCATAAGAAATTTTAGCACACATTTCTCAGCAACTGAAAGAATATGTAGACAGACCACAAAATTATAGGATTTTGAACACAATTGATAAAATTGACCTAAATGTCATATATAGAACAAACACTACACCCAATAACTACATAATACTGTCAACTGACATTTTTAATTGACAGATAAAAATCATATGTATTTATCACATGTAACATATTTTGAAGTATGTATATATATTGTGGAATGTTTAAATCTAATTGACAAAGGCATTATCTCCCATAGTTATCTCTTTTGCAGTGAGAACACTTAACATTCACTATCTTTGCACTTTGAAGAATACAATAGCCATCATTCTCAGCAAACTAACACAGGAACAGAAAACCAAACACCACATGTTCTCACTCATAAGTGGGAGTTGAACAATGAGAAGACACGGACACAGGGAAGGGAATATCACACACCAGGGCCTGGTGGGGGTTAGTGAGACAAGGGGAGGGAGAGCATTAGAACAAATACCTAACGCATGTGGGGCTTAAAACCTAGATGACAGCTTGATAAGTGCAGCAAACCACCATGGCACATGTATACCTGTGTAACAAACCTGCATGTCCTGCACATGTACCCCAGAACTTAAAGTAAAATAAAATAAAAAAAAGAATACAGTAGACTGTCATTAACTATGGGCACCCTGCTGTATAACGGGTCTCTTGAACTTATTCCTCCCACCTAACTAACTGATGGAAGTGAGAAGACAATAGAATTACATCTTTAAAGTGCTAAAACAAAACAATGCCAATCCAAAATTCTAGGCCTGGTGAAAATGTTCTTCAGAAGTGAAAGTGAAATAGCCAGGCATGATGGCTCAGGCCTGTAATCCCAGGACTTTGGGAGGCCAAGGGGGGCAGATCACTTGGGGTCAGGAGTTCGAGACCAGGCTGGCCAACATGGTGAAGCATTGTCTCTACTAAGAATACAAAAATTAGCAGGGCGTGATGGCGGGTGACTTTAATCCCAGCTACTCGGGAAGCTAAGGCAGGAGAATCATTTGAATCTGGGAGGCAGACGTTGAAGTGAGCCGAGACTGCGCTACTGCACTCCAGCCTGGGCAACAGAGAAAGACTCTGTCTCAAAAAAACAAACAAAACAAAACAAAACAAAAAAACCACAATGAAAGTGAAAAACAGCTGACAAATTTGAGAGATTTCACGATTTCACTTAGAGCATTTTCAACAATTAGCCATATGCTGAGCCTGCAAGCCTCAACAAAATTCAAAGGATTAAAATCATACACAATATATTCTCTGAAAACAATGGAACTGAATTAAATGTCAATTTTAAAAAGGCAAAAAAGTCCCAAAACTGTTTTGAAATTCTAAGTTATACAAGGCTCAAAGAATTTACAATAGAAATAAAAAAATATATTAAAAACAAAATAATAGAAATATTTATATAAATTGATACAACTAAAGCATGCTTAGAGGAAACTTTATAACCTCAAATGCAAGTATTGGGAAAGAAAATAGACTAAAAATAAATTATCTAAATAGTCATACCAAGAAGTTAGATTAAAAAATTAAACATAAAGAAAATGAAATAATTGAGATATAGTATTCTATAATAGAGATAACAAAGAATAGAGATAAAAACTAATGAAATACAACACAAACAATAGACAAGATAAAATAAAGCTAAATATGGATGTTTGAAAAACTAATAAAATTGGTAAACTCCTAGATATTTAAAAAGAAAAAAGAGAAAACACAAGCTATCATTATCAGAAATGAAGGTGTATCACTATAAATACAATAGCCAAGAATATATGAGGAAATTATTAACATAAAAATTACTTGATGCTTTAGATGAAATTGACAAATTCCTTATAAACTATGCAAAACCACTTGCCATGACTAACACAGAAAAAAATGTATATATCCGACTGGTCTTATATCTAAAAAAATCAAATACATAATTTAAAACTTTCTCTCTAAAAAGAAAAAGCAAAGCCTTGCAGGAGTAGACTAATTCTTCCAAACATTTAGAAAAGAAACAACACCAAACTGAATACTTTCAATTCACTTCTCAACTCACAAATATTTGTGTGAGGCTATCACAAGTTTGACAATGTGAAAACATGATAAGGACATTATAAAATATTTTAAAATTACAGGTAATTCTATCTTGTAAACTTTGTGAAGCAATCTGAAATAAAATATTAAAAAATCAAATTCAGCATTATATATGATAATAAACCGTGGCCAAGTCAGTGGATACCAGAAGTACACAATTGATTTCACATTCCAACATCAATCAGCGATACACCTAAATGTGAAATCCTAAACTATAAAGCTTGAGGGGATGGGCTGCAGGGAACTCAGGAGAATATCTTCACGACCGTGGGAGTAGACAAAGCTTTCTTAGATACAACATAAAATGGACTAACCATAGGGGAAAAATAAAATAAATAAAACGGACTACCAAAGCACAGAAAGGGAGAAAATTTCCTCTTTCTTTCTCTATATATCTTTCTCACAAAAGACCCACATCCAGAATATATTAAGCACTCCTGAAAATCAATAATAAAAAGGCCAAAAAAAGAGTAAGACTTGAGCAAGTACTTCACAAAGATAGATAAATGGCTAGTGAGCATGTGGGAACGTGCTCAACATTATTAATCATCACATAAATGCAAATTAAAATCGCAATAAGACACTACTCCACACACACCAGAATCAATTTAATTAAAAGGACCGGCAATACTGCATGTTGGAAGGAATGTGAAGCAACTGGAACTCTGAGACCCTTTTGGTGGAAATGGAAAATGGAAAATGGTTCAACTACCTCGAAAAACTATTTGGTGGTTTTTAACAAAGTTAATCATACACCTACTTTATGTCTCATGATACATACAAAAATGTTTATAGCAGTCCTATTCATTATAGTTAATCTGGTAAGGAATTCAAATTTCTATCAACAACAGAATGGCTAAAACAAGTTAATTATTCAAATAGTAGAATACTCCTCAGCAATATAAAAGAACAACCTACTGACACACAGAGGAGCATGAATGAATTTCAATTTGTTATATTGAGGCAAACAATTTCAGATAAAAACTAAACAGGTAAATTTATATGATACTAGAAATTAGAAGGGTGGTTGACTCTCAGTGGGGTGGGAGGATTGATTGGGAAGGGACACATGAGGATTGATTGGGAAGGGACACATTTTATCACTGGGGTAATAAAAATGTGATATATCTTGACGTGGAAAGAAAAAGAGATAAAATACACTTCTTCTTCTTTTTTTTTTTTTTTTTTTGAGATGGAGTCTCACTCTGTTGCCCAGGTTGGAGTGCAGTGATGCGATCTCGGCCTACTGCAACCTCCGTCTCCCAGGTTCCAGCAATTCTCCTGTCTTGGCCTCCCGAGTCGCTGGAATTATAGGCACATGCCGCCATGCCCAGCTAATTTTTTGTATTTTGGTAGAGACGGAGTTTCACCATGTTGCCCAGGCTGGTCTCAAACTCCTGAACTCAGGCAATCCACCCGCCTCGGCCTTCCAAAGTGCTAGGATTACAGGCATGAGCTGCCACAACCAGCTAAAATACACTTCTTTATATATAAACTTTGCTATAGTTAAAACTGGAAAATACAGTTTTAAAGCAGACAACAGCAACATTTTCATGTTTTTATATACGGAGTGCATATAACTGACAAGAAAAGTCAAGAACAAAATTTTTAAAAGATAAAGAATATGAGGAAGGAATTTACAAAAAGGAAACTATGATGGCCAAACATACAATAATGCTCCAATTCACTAATAGTCAGGGAAAGGTCAATTAATTTAACAATGAATGGCAATGTCACTGCCATTTTGGGAAGCGAGGAGACAACATTTACTTACCTGACTGATAAACAGATCCAGATGTCTATCTCTACAGCAATTAAACCACCTACATAAGGGTACATGTACAAGAATGCTATTGCAGCATCGTTCAGAGTGGTAAAACAAAACAACAAAACAAAAAAAAAAAAAGAAAGAAAGAAAGAGGAAATCAGTCAGTTCCTGTCACAAAAGAATAAATGAATGGTGACAAACTACACCATGAACTATTATGTGGCCATTAAAAACCATGTGGCTGTAAAACAGCTACTGAACCTATAGTTAAAATATAGTAGACAAATAAGGCTTTAGGAGAGGATGTTAACCATATTAACCTTTGCAACCTGAGTATAAAGTAAAGCTCTCGGAAGACTGCAAACTTTAACTGGTAAGTGCAGATGTGCAGTCTCTGGGCTACTGAGGAGATGTGCATCTCTATTTGTGCTCATAGTGCCAAAACACAAAACATTTTGGAGGTCTTTTGCCATGATTGAAAAAAGCACAGCTGGGGCCAGGCCATGGTGGTTCATGCCTGTAATCAGAGCACTTTGGGAGGCCAAGGCGGGCAGATCACCTGAGGTCAGGAGTTCAGCCTGTCCAATATGGTGAAACCCCGTCTCTACTAAAAATACAAAAACTAGCCAGGTGTGGTGGTGGGCACCTGTAATCCCAGCTACTCGGAAGGCTGAGGCAGGAGAATCGCTTGAATCTGGGAGTTGGAGGCTGCAGTGAGCCGAGATCCTGCCATTGTACTCCAGCCTGGGTGATAAGAGTGAAACTCCATCTCAAAAAAAACAAAAATGGTGGAACTACTAGCCTATACTGCTTATGTCTCTTTTGCTTTCTCTTTTTCTGAGCCAATAGTTTTCTTTTTTCCCTCTTTTTCTTTTCTATTTTTAATTCTTTTTCCTGTTTCTTCACCTTCTTTCTTTCCCCTTCATTAGACTACCTTTTATATATGCATTTCTTTGCATTTTATGTATTTATAAAATGGACTATTTCCTACATACATAAATCAAAAATGTATTATTTTATATGCCTTTCTCTAAAAAGATAATATGCTATGCTATGCTATGTTATCCTATGCTACACTATGCTATGCTATGCTATCCTATGCTATTCTATCCTATGCTATCCTATGCTACGCTATGCTATCCCATGTTATGCTATTCTATGCTATGCTATGCTATGCTATCCTAGCTATACTATGCTATGCTATCTTATGCTATGCTATGCTATGCTATGCTATCCTATGCTATGCTATGCTATGCTATGCTATGCTATGCTATGCTAGCTATCCTATGCTATGCTATCCTATGCTATGCTATGCTATGCTATGCTATGCTATGCTAGCTATCCTATGCTATGCTATCCTATGCTATACTATGCTATGCTATGCTATGCTATGCTATGCTATGCTATGCTATGCTATCCTTTGCTATGCTATGCTATCCTATGCTATGCTATGGTATGCTATGCTATGCTATCCTATACTAAAATAGATGTATGCTCTCATAATCCTTCACTGATTTGATTCCTAAGCATCAGATACACTTGAGATATGTGGGGAAGCTTTTATTATCTGGACATTGCTATGTTATTATAATCAGAAAAACCATTACCCTGCTAACATCATGACTCTTCTTTTTTTTTCTTCTTCTGTTACAGGGAATTTTGATTGCATTGATGACTTTCAGCATTATTGAATTATTAATTTCTCTGCCCTTCTCAATTGTGGGGTGCCACTCAGAGGACTGTGATTGTGAACAATGTTGTTGACTAGCACTGTGGGAATAAAGATGTGTTAAAATATTATTTAGCAATGACTTCTGCTTGTAAGGAAAAGCCAAAGGACACATAGAATCTTAAGGCTGGAAACTATCTGAAGCAAAGGGGAGTGGCTCAAGTGAGGGGGTTCTGGGGACATTTTAACTGATAAAGCACATTCTGCCTCTTGGCAATGCCATATGTCCCTCTCCCCAAATCAAATGGTCACCTTGGTGTTGTCACCTCTGTTAGTCATGCATTCTTTCAACTAAAGGACAGCAATGTGGTGTTGCAAAGATAGGAACCAAAGCCCAAGGCCTGGGGTGACCCAGTCGTCTAACTTCTCTGGTTGATGACATCTCCTGCTGATTTCACTAAGAGACTCCACCTAGTGGCTCCTACTCCAATGGTGTGTGGAAAGATGAGTTGGTTGGTGGAATGGTTTGGCCCACAAATTCTACATTAATGCTGCAAGATCTTCAATGTTAAAGAGCTGATCAACTAGAATAGTAACAATAGTAAAAATAATGAGGGCAAATATCGGTGGAACCACTACTATATTCCAGGCATCATTCTAAGTATTATATAGGTGTTACTCATTTAATCTCACAAAAATCCTAGGAGGTGAATTGTATCATTATACCGATTTTACAGAAAAGGAAACTGAAGCACAGAGCGGGTAAATAATTTGCTGAACGTCATGAAGTTTGCAATGGCAGAGTCATAATATCAACAGGCAGTTGGATCCAGAATCCAAGGTCTTAATTCCAATGCCAAGAAAAGTTCAGAAGGGACTATTTTCCTCTGGGTTCTCTTAACAGCTTTTGCATTCAATCTGTTATGATATCTCATGTTCTATAGCCTATGGAGTATACCACTATAAAGTTGTGAAAAGAGAAATAAGGTCTTAGTGTCATTATAAAAATAGTTTTGAACTTAGAGAGCACCTACAAACATCTCAAGGACCCCAGGAAATTCCAGACCACACTTTGAGGACCACTACATTATACAGTATTGCCTCTCACTGGCTGAATATCTCCTAAGCATTAGAGGTCTTACCTGTATCATCTCACTTGTCCTGACAGTCCTCAGGGTAGGTATGTCTTTTGTCATAGTCATAAAAATTGAAGCTCAAAGTGGTTAGCTTTTCTGAAACACAAAAGGAGTGTGATTTAGAAAGAGGATTTGAGTCAAGGTCCCTAAATTCAAATCCCATAATCCTATGTTGTTTATGGTATAGAAAAAAATTCAGCAGACTCAAAAAACTAAGTAACGGGCTTTCATTTCTGCTATTTGCTGGAAGCAGCTTAAGTTATAGGTGCATGTGTGAAGGTGAGGGATACAACACGGCAGGAAAAATAAGTAACTTTTTTTACTTCCAGTGAAGTTACGTTCTGATGAAAAATACTTGGCAACTGAATGATGTACAGATGTGTGAGGCTTGAGATATATTTAAGGGTGCAAAGTCTTGGGCTTGTAAGTCAGAAGTAGGTTTAAATGTTGTCTTGAAGTAAAAAAATAGTAGATGCAAGTTGTGGAGAAAAGAGAATGCTTATACACTGTGGGGAGGAATGTAAATTAGTTCTGCCACTGTAAAAAAAGCAGTTTGGCAATTTCTTAAAGAACTCACAGCAGAATTACTATTCAACCCAGCAATCCCATTATTGGGTATATACCCAAAAGAATATAAATCGTTCTACCATAAACACATATGAACCTGTATGTTCACTGCAGCACTATTTGCAATAGCAAAAACATGGAATCAACCTAAATGCCCATCAACAGTAGACTGGATAAAGAAAATGTGGTACATATACATCATGGAATACTGCATAGCCATAGAAAAGAATGAGATCATGTCCTTTGCAGCAACATAGATGAAGCTGGAGGCCATCATCCTAAGCAAACTAACACAGGAACTGAAAAGAAAATACTGCATGTGTTCTCACTTATGAGTGGGAGCTAAACATTGAGTACATATGGACACAAAGAAGGGAACAACAGGCACTGGGGCCTACTTGAGGGTGGAGGATGGGAGGAGGGTGAGGATCAAAAAACTACTATTGGGTACTATGCTTATTACCTGGGTGACAAAGTAACCTGTATATCAAACCCCCGTGACATGCCACTTACCTGTATAACACATCTGCACATGTACTCCTGCACCTAAAATAAAATTTAAAAAACAAAAGAAAGAAGAAACGTTAAAATTATTAGAAATAAAGATAGAAGACTTCTTTACAACATCAAGGTAGTAAAGAATTTCTTAAACAGATCCCAGAACATGAATAGTACCAATAGGAACTGATACAACCCACTTAGTCGTTATTAAGAATGTTACACAAGTGTGACAAGAGCAGCTACAAATCAAAGCCTTTTAGCAACAGAAATAACCAACAAAATTAATGAGATATAGAATATGTAAAATCCTCCTATACATTAATAGAAAAATACAACTTGATGAGAACTTAGTCCAACGCCATGCACAGCCATTTCACAGGAGAAGAAAACAAAAGTTAATATATGAAAAGCATTCAATTTCTTAAGTAATTGTGGAATGAAAGGAACTCTCCTACCACGATGGTATGAGTGTAAATGAAGACAACCACTTTAAAAACTAATTCCCTAGTAAAGGTAAAGATACACATGCTTTATCACCTAACAATTCCACTGCTAGTTAATATATACAAGAGAAATTCTTATATGTGTGCAACACACGACATGTACAAATGTTTCCAGAGCAGGATTGTCTGCAATACCTCAAATGTTCACGGACAGAGAACAGATTAATTGTACCACATTCCCTCCTGGAGGACCACATATTGCTAAAAATAAATTACTCAAAGCAAATCAACAAAGATGAATTTTACGCATTTAATGTTGAGCAAAAAAAGCAAGTCACAAAAGAACATCTTATTAATTCTACCTAAAAATGATTAGAAAACACAAAAACTAAGCAATATGTCGTGTGAAATATAAACATATGTGGAAAGACAAAATATAATGAAAAGGAAGAGAGTGATAAACACCAAATTCAGCATAATGATGAGCTCTGATAAAGAGGGTGACTTGGGGAAGGATAACACGAGAGCCTTCAAAGGTATCAGCGACACTCTTGTATCTCTAATCATGGCTGTGGGTACATGGTTTTTTGTCCCACTGTTACAAGTAATTTTTCATACATATTATTTAATTTTTTGAGACATACAATTGAGAAAGCAAAACATCTTGTTTTCATTAAATTGTTTATTACATAATGATATTTTTGTAGTCAACACCTGCAGAAAAATGTTACTGTTACATATCAGTCTCCAATGATAGCATATTTATTGGTACATAAGAGAAAAAAAACTCTTTTCAATAACAATGAGGTCATATAATTGCATTTTTTTCTTCAGCTCTATTCCCACATCACAAAAGCAAAGGGAGTGATCCAGTAATCTGCACACAGGAGTACATCAGACATCTTTATATCTTAAAACGAATAATAATAAATGTTTTGCCATTTAAAGCTGTGTCACTTGAACAAATTAATCTTTGTGGGTTTAAAATTTTTATACTAGAATTCAATAATCATAATACCTACCTAATGGGTTTACTGTGAACCTTCAATGAAACGTGGAAAGTGAGTTTATCAGTGCCCGGAACTTAAAAATCACTTAGTAAATGGTAGCTTTTAAAATTTATCATTGAGATTTTCTTGCTCTAAACATCACTTATTTTACCATTTACCAGCTTTGCAACTTGAGAATGGCTTCCTCCATTTCCCGAACTTTAGTTTCCACAATTATAAAACAGAATCAATATTATATGTGGGGTAAGGTTTATATGTGGACAATTCTTGACATAAAAGTAATTATTTAATTAATAATACCTTCCTAGCTGTTCCAAATGTAAAGCAGTCCCTTAGAACAGAAAGAAGACCCTGTAAACTATAAAGTTCTTAAGTACTTCAATTTATATTTTCCTTAGTATGAATTATTTACAAGTGCAGCAATGGGATTTTCTGACCTGTAACCAAGTCCTATTTGCAATTAGATCTTTAGCCTCACCTCTGACGAGCCCTATGTCTCCTTTACCAATTTTCTGACACCAAAACCCTCCAACAGCAGATAATTCTGGGTGCCAGGGCCTTGCAGAGCAGTTGGGAACATGGCATAATGTTACTTCTTAATGTTGGAGAGCCTGGGGACAATCGCCTGGGTGAAAGAAACAGCCAAACAGAACCATTCTTTCTCAGGATTGCCAGGGACACGGCAATCCCAAAAACTGACCCTGCTTTCAAGGGACAAGGAGACAATGGCTGATTAAGGCAAGGACACAAATAATTATGATGTAGCATACAGTTTTCACACAGAGGGCAATGATGAAAAAAATTGGAATGCTAGGACGTGCAGAGAGTAAAAAGGAAATTCACGTCAGGAAAATACGAACTGAATAAAAGTTGGCACACTTTTATGTAGACTTTAAGATTGTCTTTTGGAAGCAAGGTCACTAGATAATGAAAATAGGCTTAATTCAAAGAGAAATATTTTACATATGTTATCAACCTAATAAAATATTCTCACGCCTTGGGGGAAGAGTGATGGTGATACACCAAACAAGGTGCTACTGACAAATCCAAATTGTAGTGAGAATTTCAACACACTCAGGCACTAAAATGTTGATCATTCAAATCAGCAAAGACAAGTAAATGTTTATGTATTCATACAAATTCAAGTTCAAGTTTATTTGGGAAGAATCATACATAGAGCCACCTAAGTTATCTTGCTGGCCACAAAGTAGCAAACAACCTGAGACTGACTGGGGAAATACAGGGCTCAAACAGGGAAAAGGAGGCAAAAGACCAGGTTGTGCAGCCATAACTCAAGTCCCTTGGCTGCCATACATTTGCCAAGTCCTGACCCTGTTCCCATGCCAACTAAAATGAAGGCACATGCCTCTAATCGCCCCACCCATCCAGGACTCAAACCTCAAATCATCCACAACTCAGACCCTAGGTAACTGTCCTCCCATCACCAACCACTCAAGCATTTCAGCAGATATGCATAGACCCTCAATTAGAATGTTAAATGGATGATGGATCTTCTGTTCCCACTCTCCTTCACTCTACAGCATTTCTGAGAGGTGACTGCATGGCTTTTTGAGTATTCTTGAAGAAGTAAATTCTCTATTCAAATGGTAGCCAGTTCCCCTAATGAACCGCTCCAATGATTTTTTTTTTTTAAAGTGGCATCTTTTTAAATATCACACCACAATCAGCCTTCCCAGAACTACTTCTTCCCAGTGGATCTAATCCTATGGTTCCAAACTATTTTAAATTTAAAAAGAGAGGCAGAAAGAGAAAGAGAGAAGAGATGAAAAAGAGAGACAGGAATGAACCTCGAATTAGGCAACAGAGCTGCCTACCATATTTCATCCTTTTAGATTAAACGAACAAATAATTACCTAACTATAGCTCTGTATCTCTAATAAAATGAAGCAATGAACAAGAAAATAAAAATGTAATTAAAAAATCCCACATATGAACATAAAAGTTGAATACTGTAGGGGGAGAGAGAGGACAATATCTTTGGGCAAAACTCTGATTCACATCCCAAATATTTAGACTCTCCTGACACCACCAACTTCTTCCATTTCCCTACTTGATCTAGCACTGGGCTTGATGACCCTGCGGCTCCAGACTAGACTAAAAAGAGAGGGGACACAAGGGAACTTGACAGATGGAAGAAAAAGGTGGGTTCAGAGGTGAAAGTGCTATTTCAATTTACATCTCCAAATATGGAGGCTAATTCTTGCTTTGAGTGGCTGGGTACATGTACTACGGCACTGAAGTATACTTTTAGGCCATTTCTGCTAAATCTGACACAAGATATATACATGGTTCATTAGAAACCTAAGTGTGAGCAAATGAGGACAATATGTGAGGACCCCTAAGTATAGTGCTCCCAAGTGTACAGCCTCAGTGATTCTTGAATCTCTGCATGGATGCCTCCTCCCCACCTACTCAGCCCTAAAAGTGAAGCAAGAAGGTGAAATCCAGTGCTAACAGTCCATCTTTGGCCAACTTCTAGACTCTTTCTTGTCCTTAGGGACCCGCCATCCACACCTGCTTATAGGGTGGGGGCTGCAGAAGTTCTTCTAAT